AAAAAAAAAAAAAAAAAAAAAAAAAAACGTGTATTGCGGGACCGTTACTGATAAAGCCACAGGTGTAGATGTCACATATCCAGTGCGAACATCTTGATGACGTCTGGTTGGATGTCGAAAACAAAAGACCTAGGTGTGGTGGATCGACCAGTGTTCACGTATCCATCAGAGGTCAGACAATAATTGCTTTCGAAGGTCGCAGATCAGCATCCGCTATTATACCCGATCGTTTTTACAATCATTTTTTTAAGAGGCTGATATTTCGAATAAGAAAAACACGTTTTTTCTTTATTTATTGTGTTTCTGCTCACAATACTGAATAAATAAAATATCTACCTGTCTGACCCATCTACCTAATGGCCAACATTTTAATTGCTAAAAAATGACGTTGGGCAAAAGGAAAATACTAGTAGATGGCAAAAATTCCAATCATCAACTGGTGCACTGAAATACCTAGACAGTTCGCCGCTCCTATATAATGCTCTCACGAATTTAAGTGTTGACATTGCAGTAAGGAGACCATGAAGTATATCAAGGCCAACTAACAGCTGGAAAAGTCCCATAAATTAAACTCACGATTTTGCTTAAGTTGGGTGGTTGGGGGAGAAGGGATGAGAAATATAAAACAGCACATAAAAATGCTTTTACTTTATTGTGTAAAGAACATGGATGGAAGAATTGCTTGGTATTTTCTCTTATTAGCTTCCTATAAAACGCTATGAAGGGTGAAAGGAGTACTTTCTAAACTAGGGGGGACATGGCGGGTCACGCAGCCCGCTGTGTCTCCCCTGTTAATCCATTATTGCTGACGTTGTAATTCGCTTTATTTGCCGTAAGTCCGTATACAGGTTATGGTATGGAGAAACTGGCGAACCGTATGTTACCATTTCTGTTATTAAAATATGCTCTTTAAAAAACTATTATACTATGCTTAGTTATATATTATATTATATTATATTATATTATATAAAGTAAAGTAAAGTGTACAACAGGAAATTGATAAATAAAAGATTGAAAAATATAATCAACATCTGGTGAAATGTAATGAATGTTAAAAATATCACAATTATTTCAGAAAATCAAGTATCCAAAAGCTATGTCCATGTGCCCGGACAGACCCCCTTCAGCCATGTCTCTTTCCCTGACCAACTGGACGGGCAGGCACAGAAACACCCGGACCGCGAAGCTTTAGTTTTCTGGGAAAATGCCGCCTGCAGACGATCGTTGTCATTTGGGCAGTGGCGCGAGAAATCGCTACACCTGGCGGCGGTATTCTTGCGGCTTGGAACACGGTCACAGGAGCGCCGTGCCCTCCTGGTTGCTCCTAACTCTCTGGACTATGTTGTCATCGTGATGGCTCTGGCACGATTAGGCGTTAACGTCATTCTACTGAAGTATGGTACCACTTCGCAGGAGATTGATGAAACCATGAAAAAATATCGCTGCAACGCGTTGATCTATCAACTAAGCGCTGGCCAAGAAGACCCGTATCAATTGCGTCAGGATTCAACAGACCCTGCGTCATACGAGCAGCACGTGATCTTCATCACCCTAGGTGACGTCACAAGCAGCAGCCACGAAGTGCACCGCTACTGTGACCTCGCGCGCTGTGAGGTGAGTGAGGAGGAGAAGGCAAGGGTACTGGCGCTCCAGACCAAGATTCAGATGGAAGATGCTCTGCTGGCATTCATGACGTCAGGGAGCACGGGGAATCCTAAAGCGGTCCAGGTCAATCACTTCCAGTTTGTACAGGCAACTCTAACAGCGTATGCTGCTCACAGACTGACAGACAGTAGTAGGTCAGTGTAGCCAAAACTGAAGTCTATATTGTAAAAAAGACGCTTATTTTACAATACTAAAATCTTAAGCAAGTGTCCATGGGGAAAAGAAAATTAAAACCATAGTTTGGTAAAAAAAGAAAAAAAAATTGCGAAGAACTCCTTTGAGTCGATCATCTTTAACGCAATCAATTTTCCATTTACTGAGTTTTGCGCTATACGATGATATCTGGTTATCTTTAAAATTAATACACCCCCATACTGAATAGCAAGTGAAAACTATGTATTAATAAGCACGTGTCTTATAACAAGTGGATTTTATGTTTCCAAACCAATCCCGCTTAAAAGCCTTGTAATCCTCTACCAATCCCCAAAGCGAAAGAGATTTGATTTTTGATTCTTTATTTGAATAACAAGAGACATGTCTCTTATTACAGATTATTCAACAATCGCCCATTTTCTTGGGTGGGCGCTATGGGAATGGCCATCAATGTTGCAGCAGTTTGTGGCGTCACCCACATCAGTATTGACTCCAGGGCGTCAGCGAAAGACTCTGAAGTCGACGCAGTGATAAATGTGATAGCGGAAGAGAAATGTACGCATGCGTACCTGTCGCCGTACATTTTGTACGATTTAGTGACGTCTACCGGTGACGTCACACGGCAAGATCTGCGTGCTCTGCGGTACGTACTGAGTGGCGGAGAGCCTCTTCCAGAATCTCTCCCCGCTAGAATGTTCACTAAGATCCCACATGTGACCTTTGTTCAGCTATACGGGTCCACGGAGAGTATGGTAGTCCTTTCCCAAGCTAGCTCACCACAGGACTTGCACGACGGGCTGTTCGGGTGTATGTTCGGCTGTCCTCATGTAGAAGTCAAGGTGTCAGCCGAGGACGGGAGTCTGGTGCCGATAGGAGAGGTTGGAGAAGTCTGTGTTAGAGGTCCTATGGTGTTCCTGGGGTATCTGAATGAACCAAGCAAAACGGCGCTGGCGATCACTCCCAGCCGGTGGTACTTAACTGGGGACCTGGGTGTTATGGGCGCTGGAGGCCGCGTTCGAATTGTGGGTCGGGATTCAGAGAAGATGTTCATTAAGCACGCTACAGTTAAAGTCTTCCCGGCAGAGATAGAACTCACCCTTTCTCGTAATCCTGCTATTCAGCAAGTCTGCGTCGTTGGAATTCGCGATGAGCGTCTGTTTGAAGAGATTTGTGCATGTGTTGTCCGCGCCGGTGAAGATAGCGCCAAGGCAGCATCCGAAGAGGATTTTCTAAGTGCATTGCGTTCTTGGTGCTCAGAAAGATTCCCGCCGGGACCAGACGGCTTTTCTTTGGCCCCAAAGTATTTCCTGGTCGTTGGTGAAATCCCAAAATTGAGCACAGGAAAGATTGACCGTGCGGCCGTCAAGAGACAGGCAACATCGGTATTCAACCCGTAGAACACTTTTAAGTGTTAAAAAAAGCAGTTTGAACATTGAACCTAGCCGTCGCAGGTCGCATTCACAACAGATGATCCGCAGACAAACTGGTCCGTAGATCAAAAATGGCCGGTCACACTTGGAAGCGATGCTGCTTAATCCCATAATGGTCTCCCGGCCTACCACACGCGAGAGGCCTGCAGAAACCGTTCTGAAAGCGGCCTAAGACAAGATGTTCAAAAACACGGACAGTGCCTTTCCCAAAGTTGGCTTATGTCGGACAATATATTACTCATACTGTCAAGTTGAAATATTTGAGGATTAACTGAAAGTGAAGTAAACTGCNGCGATGCTGCTTAATCCCATAATGGTCTCCCGGCCTACCACACGCGAGAAGCCTGCAGAAACCGTTCTGAAAGCGGCCTAAGACAAGATGTTCAAAAACACGGACAGTGCCTTTCCCAAAGTTGGCTTATGTCGGACAATATATTACTCATACTGTCAAGTTGAAATATTTGAGGATTAACGGAAAGTGAAGTAAACTGAGCAAAAAAAAAAAAAAAAAAAAAAAGTTCTCCCCAATCTGGTCAGTTGTTATTTGTTTGTAATTATATAAAATAAGACGAAAATTATTATGCCTAGTTAAAACATGGTCTGAGAAGGCTTTTTCAATCCACACCGAATTGAAATATTTTCTATCAGCTGGACATAAATGGACTATATCTATAGTGGGAGCTAAAACTTTCGTGTAGTTTTGGAAAAGTTAGCAACAGTTTTTTAAACAAAAATAAAGGCAGAAGTGTAAATACACAACCAGAAACTTTCATCCTTCATACATAAATTTATTTTCCTCTTTCCTGCACTGCTAATCAGTGCACTCAGTTCCAGTATATCACTTAGACCAAGCAATGTTAAGTGAAAGAAATCTATACACTCACTTTTTTTTACCTCAGTTTAAGTTAAAATCCAAGCTTAATTTGCCTTGTGAGCCATGTTACAGCCAATATCCTAGGTGAGATTATGAATACGGTAGCACAAAATGCACTTACATAACTTATCAAAATCACTGCATGCTATATGTAGTGTCCACCTTTAATATAAATACATATAAATGTTCCAAAATGCTCAATAAACTATCAGTACTCATATCCACAAAGCAAACTGCTTCAAACAAATATAATAAAAGATACCAACAGCATTACATATCGTTGTCCATAAACAGGTGTACAAAATGCCCAATGCTTCTGATGCCATTTCACAGTGACTGCTTCGTTCTTGCTCCTGGTTCATAAAAGAAAAAAAATAAATAAATAAAAATAAATAAATAAATAAATAAATAAAAATAAAATGAAAAAAAAAAGCCACAACTCTTTTCACTGAAAAACTGACAGCCCATGGTGACCAGTACTGGTTTGCTAAATTAATGAGAATAATGGACATCTTTCACACACAAAATAAAAATAAATAAATAAATAAATAAATAAACTCTTTTCACAGAAATACTACTGGATGTACCTAAGATGAAGTAGGGTAATAACTCGATCTTTTCAATAGGGGAATTTGTGAATTTTAATGATTCTATATTTTAATGATTTCTGTATCTGAAAGTTTTATAATTTTTGCCCAATGGAAAGATCGAGTAAAAACCCTATATGGTAATTAATATTTTCAGTTCTAAAGTAAAGACCTCCGCTTCCTTTCAATGGACCTTAGTTCCTTCATAAACTGTGTATCACTTCCATGCTTGAATGTATTAAAAGATGGCAACTAATTTCCACTAAAAAATATGTGCGTACAATAAAATTGCATGCTAAAATGTCTCAGTATAGTAAGGTCCTCCCATCCACTGCTGCACTTTATTTTCAACGCATTCTGTTTCAGTGCACTTTAAGAGATTGCCTTTTTAACTTCCTTTCTATAACATTAGAGAGCCACCTAAACCAAGATCTCACTGTTCACATGGTCAACCAACTGAACAGCAGGAAGGGAACTCGTAAATAACATGTACAAGAGAAGATCTACATGTATGAATCTCTCAATGTGGACAAGTACAGACCAAAGTCAAATATATTGTAAAGTATTATGTATACTCTTCAATTCTAAAAGGGACAGAGAAAAGTAGGTTACACTTTTTCTCTCTGCTACTACATTTTCCACTCGGGATTAAAGAATCGTTGGCGACAATGCAATCTTCAGAACCTCTCACTATAGGCCTTCCTCAAATGACATAAAGTAAAGATCACCATAATAAAACAAGCCAATAGGCCAAAAAAGATGAAATATCTTTGAAAAAGAGAAATATAATGAGAATATCTAACCATTTTATGCCAAATACATGGAAGGAATATTATGGAAGTGCATGCCCCTAAACGGTCTTAATTGTGCTGTTGCCTAATTCAGTGGCATCAATCTATTGGTTCAAAATACTCCATTATTTTGTTAAAATTTTCCATATCTTTTTAGATTCATTCATTTTAATCATGGTTTATAGACAACACGAGGAAAATGAAAAATAATTTTTGAGGGAGGGCTAAAAATAAGAATAAGTCACCTATGCATTTAAACAATGGGAGCACTAACTTTGAATAGTTTTAATTGGAGTTAAAAATCCATGGTAAGGAATCTAAAAACAACCAACTCTGAAAAATGTGTTAAAAGGGTATGTTAAATGAATACACAAATGCAACCATAAATGCTTAATTCCACATATAAAAAGCTGAGTAAACCTATACATATATATTATGTCAATATTGTAATTACTCATAATTAGCGAACATTTACCTTACTCTAAATATGTTAGCATTTTGATAAACAATTCTGTAGAATACAAAATTTAAAAATAAATAAATAAAATAAAATAAAAATTGACATAAACAGAATTCCAATGTTAGAACTCCAATGTATTTCTTGCAACTATTTTAAGAACTGCAAATAAAGTTTCATTCCGAAAATTTATATAAAAGTGCCTACTTTTTCCTGCAATTTTCCACATAATTACCAAAATCAAACACGTGTGTCATCAGCAGGAGAACCCGTGTAAAATATATGGTCTCCCCTGTCCACATATGCTACCATATTACCTTCCTATATCATGATTCTTCTGAACATTTAGAGATTTCAACATTGCACTTGCACCAAAAGATAATTCTACTCAATACCAAATCAGACATTATCTCACTCCTCTGGTAATATAAATGTGTTTTTGAAGACACAAAAACATAACACTCACACACAAACAATGGAAGCTAAACCTACTTCCAGTATATCACTTGCAAAGCTGTGCAGATAACTAATGACAGACAGTGACCTTTGACTTAAGGTCAACAGTTTTGGCAAAACATATGGTCCTCATGCATCAACAAAGGCATATGCTAAATGTTTTGACCATGAAATTTGGCTTCCGTAAACGCTAACAAATTTCACCAACCTGAACCATTACATATGTGGTTCCATAAAAATGCTGGAACTTTCTTTTTCCAATAACATTCTCAAGAGCAGTTAAAAATATTATGGCATCAATTTTGCATGGAAATCCAGGCTGTCACAATGAAGCCATTCCCAACTTAATTCAGTAATCGCAAAACTGAGGAATTGCGAAGGACATAAATTAAGTAAACAGGGACTTTCCACTTGGCCCAGGGATGGTGACGCCACCAAACCTATCCACCAAATAAGCCACCAGGACAATGGCGCCAATAGAAATGCCAGTACAAACAAAGGACAGGAGAGATGATTTCGCATTCCTCTTGAACTTGGCTGGTCCAAATAAGCTCAAAAACGCTGTGCATGCAGTAAACGTGTACAGTATGGCCACGGAGGTGTTAATGGCTACAATTTCTCCAAATTTGGCAAAGGGTTGTATGGTGGTTTGGGTGAGCGGGATGGCCGCCACGATTGTGGTGACGGCACTGCTGAAGATGGAGGATCCAATATGGCTGACTGCTACCTTGGCTCGCCACTGTCGCAGACTTTTGGTATTCTGTAATATGACAATAATGCCCTGTCACAACATATTTCAGAGTGAAGCATCAAGAATGAAACACTAATTGAACAAGTATGTAATGGCATGTAAAAATCAATCAAGACACTCTGAAGTGTTTAGGGAATGGAACAAAAAATTCTACTGATTTAAAAGTTTTGAATTCCTCTTGGTAACATAGACGAATCTAGCCTTCTACCAAAGTCCATTCTCTATTAAACATATACACACATAACCCATCAAAATAACTTACACATGGGAAAAATCCAACCATAAATATATGCATACCTCTCTTATATTGTGTGGTGGGTGGATACCAGCCAGCAGATATCCTTCCACCAAATGGACACAGTAGTCCACTGAGGAGCCCACCAGGATGGACAGAGAGACTGCCTCCACTGCCCCCAGCTCCCACCCAGACAGGTAAAACACAGAGACCACAAGGAGAATAACACCTGGAACAGAAACAAAAATGTATTTTCAGAAGTCTTAAGTGGTAGGTCTGGGGCAGGGGGAGAGGAGGGAAGGGGGAGGCACAGAGGGTATGTGCTCTCATCTTAACTTCCGTTTTTTTCACTTCCTCACCCCCTCCTAAGAGGTGCATATAATTAGATGCCTCAATTCCCTCTAAAAGAGTCTATAAGACATAGTACAGTGGTTCGTTTAATGAATCACACTAATCAATATAATTTTCTTCAGGATAACAAATGAACTGCCTTTATTATTTTTTTTTCATTTAATCTGAATTCTCACAAAAAGAAAATCACTAATTTAAAAACAATTACCAGCTTACCAGATATCGTAAGACAAATGATGAGAAGCAACAGAACATGTCCCGTGAAAACGGCCACCGCAGCAATACATATCAACATGGACAGAACCAGACCATAGATGGCGCTCCCAACTGCAACACGCTCCATGAATACCTAAAGCCAAAAGTTCGTGTGACTTTCAACACTTAAGAGCTCTCTTTGGAAATTGCATTAAAAGAGAGGGGGATTTGTATTAAAAGAGAGAGTGCACAAAAGTTACATCTCTATTACAAGGCAAAACATTTGCCCTTCTTGTTGAAATGATAAACTTGACAAATCATTCTAGTCAAAATACATTATAATTAGACTGAATGAAATATGTAACTGGTTTGATTGGGCTTAATTATGTCATGAAAGAAACTTTACAATTTCCTTAAAAATAGAACATATTTTTAAATCAGTAAAATGGGCTCACCTTGGTCCAGAATTCGGACGTCTGATACATGTTTTTCAGTGGAGAGTCTTTGGGAAGAACTAATGTCTTGATGTGATTGATGAACTTCTCCCATTTCTCATACTGTTTGTATGCTCCATAGTAAGACTGGCCTTTAGCAGTCGTCTGAAGAAAAGAAAGATGTATTGTTTACATGTATTAAGAGAGTATCCACAATTAAATGTTTATCACTGACAAAGAATAACGCCAATGTGTGTCAATTACTTTTTTCAATACAGTAGACCATTCCACATTTCATTCTTTACTTACTGAAGTCGTTTTCCCCTTGGTTATGGAAAAAGAAAATCCCCATTCCCTTACATCAGTAGCTACACCCACTGTTCATTGTAAAGGTGTTAAAATGGAAGAAATAAATATGTAAAAAAAAAAAAGATGAAGACAAATTCAAAATTTGTATAGCAGAAAGCACTATGGGATGGCCTTTCAAATATCAAAAAATATTTTTTCAAATCCATTCAAAGTAGTAAAAAAAATAACCAGAATGAGAAAACATACTGATTCAAAGGCAAAGGCAATCCAAAAAAGACCAGAGGAGTTCAGTTTGGCAAAAGCATGTTGCGGCACTGCCTTGTTGTTGACATACTTGGTGCCTGGGAGGTTGGCACATTCTGGAAACAGCTGAAGACCAGATCTCAGAACTGAAATTACATACAAAAACAGAAATATTTACTGAATACTGACAAATGTAAACACTTCTGGGAAAAATGACTTTGTATGGATAACAATTTATTGTTTTTGGTTGACTATTACATGAAATGTACCTTGTAGTATTGTTCTATCTAAATTGTAAAAAATAAAATAAAATAAAAACAAAAATGGCTTTCACACTTACCCTGTGTAGCTTTTCTTATGGTTTTATCAAATGTAATGTTATTACATATCTTACTTGAAAAAATAAAGAAAAGAAAAAATTGACTTTCTTACTAACCCCGAGTAGCTTTGTTATGGTTAAACCCTGACGGCAAGCACTGAGCAGACCCTGGCTTCACCAGCTCACTGTTGTTGGCCACTAGATGGCAGATCTTACACAGGTCTCGCAGGGCGGCAGTGTCGATATGATCAATTCCTCCAGTCATGTTGAAGGCGGCAGCAAAGTCTTCATCATATATGGGAGTATCCTAAAAGAAATCAAAATGAGAAAGTGAGCATTCTGTACATATTTAGTTATTTGGATATGGTGTGTTTGTCACGGTGTGTGTGTGTGTGTGTGCGCGCGCGTGCGTGCGTGCGTGTGTGTGTTTATCTGTGCCTGTACATACATTCATAATTTTCCTTATTGAAAAGATCGAGTAAATGATGTACCTTAGAAGACAACACGTGTTCAGCACTGGCGCCAGTCCTCTCCAGTCCCCTGATCCCAAACACCACGTAGACGGTGGCCGAGGACTCCAGCACTGGTCTGCTGGCCGCTTTGGCACATTTCCCATTGGCACAGGGGTCAAGGTCTTCCACAGAGGCTTCTGTGGCATGGGATGGTCTCACTGGCAGTATTGGGTATACTGTGGCTACAGGAGGAGAGAAGATGAGGTAGATTAATATTATTAAAAGCTGACAAATTGGGGAGGTGGTGGAGGTAGAAAAATGTCTACTTACTCATGCACAAAAACATGATTTATTGTTAATGCTGGTGATAATTGAAAATTGGGTTTTGGATATAAGAAAAGAAAAAAATCAAATGAAAAATCATTGGTAAATGTGGATATTAGGCTGTTACCAAAAGTTACATAAAAGCAGGCAGGAACAAAATGATACCCTCTTTTATAAGTGAATTCTTATGCCAGAGACACCCTTGCCCCCTACAGGTTAACAGAATCAAGACAAATCACCAACCAAATAAAACAAAATAAAATGTCATTATGGTAATTACTTACAAATTGCAAACACCAAACATTTATCCATAATCTAAATTCTTTTAAAATCAAATCTGTTATGAATCCACAAAATCATACTTTTATCACATAAATTCAACTTGGTATTTAATAAATATAAATAATATTAAATTTATTCTTTTTAACTTCTACTTTTTAATTTTAGATGAGAAATATGATTATTCAATATTTTTTCAGTGTTTTAATTAAGGAAATAATTACCACATGTGAAAATAAAACTTTTATAATTTGCCAATTATGTTAATATAATTTTCATTCATAAACAAATGTGAATCAGAAGTGTGATTCTTTATAAAATCATCACCCAGAGCATCAATCAGAATTGCTTTATATTCCCCATCAAGCACCTACCCTCTACTGTAAGTGTGAAAAGAGCTTGGTACTTGGTTGGTATGGTAACGTGCACAATACCAAGGTAACATGCTAAATGGTGCATGCCAAATTTTAAGGATAATAATAAATCGTTTACGGTAAGGCACACATCACAATATCTACATTTTTAGGTATATGCCAGGCACCACTATTACAATCAGTGCCTAACTAGGCACATGTGATGATGCCAGGCACCATAATCAGGCACAGTGCCCAACTAGGTACATGCCAAGAACCATTATCATACTCAAAACCCACACACTCAAAACATAACCAGGTACATGCAAGACACCATAATTACACTCAGTGCCCAACTAGGTACATGTAAGGTACCACAATCAGACCCGGTGTCAAACTAGGTACATGCGAGGCACCATGATCTCATACAATTCCCTACTAGGTACATGCAAGGCACCATAGTCAGACTCAATGCCAAACTAGGTACATGCAATGCAATGCACTACAATCATACTCTCTACTAGATGTCTCGATTCTATAAGTTATGGTCCGATGAACATGTTCATGCAATATCTTTATCAATATGGTAGCAAGGCACATGCATCAAGTATAGTCACAGTTACTGAATGTGAGGCATATCTCATCTTTAATGAAATAAGATAAACGCCATGCTTTAACAGTTACCTTCAGGGAGGCATATTTTAATATTTTACAAAGCTGAATGCAATGTCTTAGTAAAACCCAAATACTGACTTGGTGCATGCCATATTTAGAAGTTTGGTGGTTAGGTAAATGTTAAAATACCTTTGTGTTATCAATATGTGGACAAATAGATGCAGTGCATACCAAGCTACAAAATATCATTAGTAAGTAAGTGCATGCCAGATTTTGCCAGTGCAGTAACTAGGTGCATGCCAGATTTTGCCAGTTCAGTAACTAGGTGCATGCCAGATTTTGCCAGTTCAGTGACTAGGTGCATCCCACGCTTCACCAACACCAAAACTACTGTTTATGCATTCATACTGTTGCCTACAATTCCCAACACCTACAATGCTATATTTTCTACATCTACATTGATACGCTCCATAAAGCTATCAAGCTGTATCTGTTCGATTCTACACCTAAAGAGCCAACCAAGTACCAGGTCCCTTTTCTCACTATACTGTGCTTACTTGCTCTCCTTATCACCATACTAGTACTGGTAGAAGTACTAGTAGTTGTAGTAGTAGTAGTAGTTGTAGTTGGTGTAGCAGTAGTGGTTTTAGCAGCACTTGTACTACTACCAGTTGTTGTCTTGAATTTCCTACTTGGTGTTGTCTTGGGTTTTGGGGTGGACTTGTACGGAATGATTGGCTGAGCTCTGGTGACTGGAGTGTCTTGATGGGCTGGTGTGGCTCCCCCTGGTGGCAGAGCTGGCCTGGCAGTGGTCGGGTTCATGGCTGGGTTGTGGTGTGTCTGGGGCGTGGTGTATGTTGGAGCTTTGTGGATCTGATCGGTTTGTTCCTAAAAAGGTACAAAAAATATGTTAGCTGCTAATTTTGAGTTTAAATAAATATGATTAAAAAGATACAAAAAATACAAAACAATTATTTTAATTGATAAATAACTAACTAAATAATTATATTGCCTCAGACAAACACATCATTCCTATGCTTTTATGTTTTTTCAGTATTATTTTTACTTGATATTTCAGAAACATGAGATAGTAAAACAATTTCAATTTTACGTGCATTCTATAACTTATATCCAATGGTTGAATAAACTTCACAATTATTATTATTATTATTATTTGAACCACCCCTTTACCTTGAATATCCCAGAACAGGTGACACATGAGATGCCATCTGCACTGAGGTTTGCCTTCAGGTCCAGGAGCTGCTGAAGGTTGGTGTTCTCCTTGAATAGCTGGGGAGGTTTTGTTGCTGGTGTGAGCTGGGTTATCAGGCCTATAGACACAGCTAACATGATCAGGAAACCACCTGGAAATGGAGACAAACTGTGACCAATGTGCCTATGGCTGTGTTCACAATGAAACTATTGCACTAGGTACATCAATCCAACTCCGTGGGGGATTCATGCTGAATGTAATCAGATTAACTGAATGACACTCCTCCATGAGCAGCTAGGGGGTGATAGACTTTTGAGTGCCCTCAGTCTTTCTCACAATGAAGTGAAAAAGTTTCCGGAGGCCATGCTTCATTGGGACTGCACCCAATGCTAGTCACTAAGGTGATATTTATATTGGCTTTTTGCCTGGATGTATCATACTGCCAATCTTCCTGAACTAGAAATCTGAACAATGACATTTACAGGTATTGTTTAAATGATATGCCATAATTTTTCTTGACATCTTCAAATGCCACACTTTTTCACATACTACTTTTTCAAAATGTATCACTATTCAGGCACAAAACTGTCATTTTTTGACAATAAAGCTAATAACTTTTCAAATCTTTTCAAAAGTATTACTTGCAAATTTTTTCTTTTTTTTTTTTTTGGGGGGGGGGGGAAGGGCATCAATTTATGTTGCTGACATTTGTTGAGTAATTGCCACTCTTACCTATCACAAAGAATCTGGCATGTATAACAGGCACAGCGACGTAGTGGTATAGGATAGCCTGTATTCTGACAGTGAGGCCACAGCCTTCCGCGGTTCTGCCTTCTTCTATTAAAGATTGGTGCAGTTCTTCCTCCAACATCAGCAACATGTCATCATCTTCATCATTATCCTCATCATTTTCAGCCGGGCGGACAGGAGTCAGTTCGCCTGTAAAACAGATTCAATTGAAATTTAAGCATTTTAAACTTCTCTCATGAACATCTGTTATCTTGGAACATTTTAACAAAATCTGTGAAAAACTTGACAATGTCCTCCTCAATATTTTACCAGAGTTTCCGACTAACTCATCCACAACAAACTGAACCCACGAAGATGAAGTTCGAACCTCTTTCACATCATCAGTGGAGGTCACTAGACCAATATCTTACCATCATCCAGCTGTAACAAAGGAACATCGTTGCTGCTGTCTTCTGATTGGCTGCCTGCTGTGGAGGTCTGGTCACCTGACAGGAAGTGCTGGACATCTGTGGGCAGCTGGACACTGGAGTGACCTTTGCATGTTTGTCCACTGTAATAAGTTTAAAAAGACCCAATAAAAAAAAATAACATGCAACTGCAAACATCTCTAATTTCTGACTTATAACATCAGTGCTTCAGTGAACAACTTGTGCTCCTGGAGACCACAACAACATCATTATTATGGTACTATAACTCATCTATTGGTGGGCACTGTAGGTTAGAAATAAAAACAAAGAAATGCATGAATTTGTATGTATTTCCACAGTTATTTCAACACCATGTGGTATCAGAATGTTGCTGGATGATTTGTTAATTGATTAGATCTGCAACTGATTATGATTGTGTTTGAACCAACTTTCCAACAAGTACTCATCAAATATTCTTCACATGAATAAACTTCCCAGCAAATATTGTAAGTCTTTCACACTTGGAGAAGGACAGTGCTGTTGGTTGAACTTTATCAGACTGGTAATACATTTACACGGAGAACCTCACTAAATCAACTTACCAGCAATTACACATTAAGTTATCTTCACCTGAATCAAACTTACCAGAAAATGTATATCAAGTACTAGTAACTTCCCTCTGTACCAACTTACCAGCATATGCACATGAGTCTCTCACATTTAGAGAAGAAGCGGTACCAGATGTTGAGAGCCGGGGGCAGCATAATCATCACCACAACCCAGCAACACGCCACGATAAGACACATGAACAAACCAAACTCGTGTAACGCAGGGATCTAGAAATATAACAGGGCAGAAATGATAAGATGTCAAGAAGTCAGCATGATAGGAAAAAAATACAACATGACAGAAAAAATGTGGCTTGTAAGTAGAAGTATTTTTCAGTTACAAATATCCTAAAGCAGAATACTGTCACAGAGAATATTGTTACTCAGCAGGGACCTCCCCCACACCCCTGCTTTTCAGAAAGGCAAACCCTATGTAAGGCAATTGGCTTCTCTGAAGAAAATTCTCACAATTTCCAGTAAGTGAAGCAACCCCTAATGATATATAAATGATGATAACAAAAAAGATATATAAAACAGCAATATAATACAACACCTAAATAAAACTATATTTAATACTCACAGAAGATGGCACATTTGCAGCAAAAGCTGCAGCAGTGGTGAAGGAAGTAAAGAATGTCGCCAGTCCTGCCGTGGTGACAGTATGGATGAATCTGGTTCCTACGTCCTTCATGTGGTGAGCCTGACGAAATGTGTTGATGAACACAAACACATCGTCACAACCTAAAATAATTTGAAAGATTAAATTACAGAAAATTCAACCACATCAATTTCTAAAATATTTTTCAATCTAAGAGACTACAAGTTTTAAACCTAAACTAGTTATTAGCATGGTGACAGCACCTAACCATATCAGTTGCAAAAAAGGTGGCAGCACCTACATTTATAAATATAGGAAAGGTAACAGCACCTTCCTATTTCAGCTGTAGAAAAGATGACATCATCTATATTAACAAATATAACAAAGGTGGGAACACCTAACTACACAAATTGAAAGAAAGGTGGCAGCACTTACCTATCCCAATTATAAGAAAGCTGGCAGCACCATTAAGTATTCCAAGAGCCTCGATGCCAAAGACAACATGATAGAAGAATAAAGCCATTGGAAAGCACATCACAACACTGAGCAGTCCAATGAAAGAGAGCCATACTGAGAAAGAGGTCAGCACTAGCATCATGATGAAGATGGCGCAGGCAGAACTGATGGCCAGAAACATGTCATTCTTGAAAGTCTGGTCAACCTCATAGTCGAATATCTCATTGCCGCCATAGAGCACTTGAACTTTGCTGAAATGTTAAGATGCATTTAGAGCCAATTCCTTGAAAAGAATATGCATACTGAAAAGAATGTGCACAATTGAAAAACATATCACATTGACCAATGACTCTGTCAAGAAAGTTAGAGGATATTTTACAGAAACTACGCGATAAAAGTTTTTTTAAAAATCAATGTGCACATATTCCAAACAATGGCAAGATGAGTAATGTCTTAGTTCAGGCAAGTTCTAGTAAGAAGGAATGATTCACCTTGTGGAACTCCTGTCCAATTTGTTCACATAGGTTACAACAAACTCCTTGAACTTTGCATTTTGTTCTGGTCTTCTGTCCATGTGAGATGCATAGCCTGAATATTGAAAAAGAAAATACAGAGCTTCTTTTTTACGAAGACAACCGTCTAATTGTTGTTCCTTAAACGAAAGTCTTTAATTACTGTCTAAATGTACCATTAAAGAGAGCAATTTAAAGAACTGAGCTCATTTCGGTAATCGTCTTGGTGATTGTTGAGATCCAACGTGGACCATATCTAAAACAACCCAGAAAATTGCACCTTTCTTGAGTTTTAAATTTCTAATTTTTGGGCCACAATATTTACAATCTTGAGTTCAACAGTCTGAATGGGAGCATTTGTGGAAACCCACCTTTGAGAGGGGTACCAAAGTAAACTTCCGTCCTAAGATATCTACTCTTCATGTTCGTATGGTTCATGGTTTCATCAACAAACCAATAGAATGTTTCCTTACTCATTGCCCTCTTCAGTCCATCAGTGACATTTTCAATGATATTATTTCCAAGCCCGTCATAGTGCACATCACCATTTGGTGTCACCGACGGATAAAAGTAGGTCATAAGAGAATTGGGAGGCATGCAGCCCTGGATTTGTGCAAGGGCAGGGTCTTGCTTCAACTGGTTGATGTACCTCCAACAAAAATCCGTAAACTTACTATTGGACATGATGTCTTTCTCTATTTTGTGGACCGTCTCAATGCGGTCTTTGGAGAATATATTTTCGTCCCCACCTTTGGCGATATAAACTAGCATCATCCTCCAAGTCAGATGCACTTGTTCATATGAGTTGACCACTTGCGAGCCTGTGCCTGATGTGTGGCGTCGTATTCGATTGAGGACACGCCCCAGAAATGTCCCACCTTCTGCACTCCTCTGTTCTCGTTTGAGATGTGGTTCAAAGTGTTTTTCATAGAAAATCTCTCCTGGTGACTTTTGTTTCTTTCTCCTCACATTTCTGGTTTTTAATACATGATTGTTTCTACTGGTTTTTCCCTGTATATAATAATCAAGAAAAAAATCAACATGACGACTGTGGCGTAACTTTGTCCCACCATCACTTAATGTCATATCAGAAAACTTTTGAGCATTCCGTCTCTTTCTCAAGAGCATTTCATCAAGCGTGCCAGCTTGGTTAAGCTGGATCTTGTCCCCAGATTGAAGATCTCGCCGTCGCCTGCTCTTGGAATACATATCCTCAATGGCAGTGCGCAGGCCGTCCGCTCGTATTGACACTTCATGATTGGGAATGTTGAAAGAATTCAGCGACTTGTCAATGACCAGCTTTGGCTGGTGAACAAATATAGTGTAGTATAGCAACCCTCCTGTGAGGCATAACCCTAACAGAATGGTGAACACAGAGACAATCACATTGGTAAGAAGAAACACTGCAAGTTTACGACTGACTGTACAAAATTTGGTATAACAGACACTCTGCGATAGAGAAAAAAAGAACTGGGATTGTGGTTGCTGATTGCCATCTGTGGAACCTAAGGACAGTTCCTCGCTTGACCGATGTCCCGACAGTTCTGGAGATTCTGAGCCATGACCTTCACCTGAGGAGTCAAGGTCATCCAGGTAGCCATCTTCCAACGGCAGCAGTTCGTTGCCCGTGTCATACTGTGACAGCAGAGTGTAGTCGCCAGACTGCACTGAAGTCATGCTGCAAGGATTTTAGCTACTCCAACAGCCTACGGAAGATAAAACAAAAGTCAAAATTGATATACAAACTTAGAATCCTTAATGAAAACATTGCAGGGAGTTTTTTTCTAAAAATAATTTATTTTTGCATAAATCAAGGTTTATCTTCATGACTTTTGGACAAAATGAACAATCGACTTTTTTGCTCTGATTTTACATATAAATTGGCGTCAGAAGATGATCTCAAATTTTAGCATGAAAACTTGAGTCTTTCTACTTTATTACAGAGCAATCAAGTAGTGAAATTTAAAAGAAATCGATAAGGTTTTTGTTTGGCCATATAGCAATTCTGAACAAAAGAAGGCGAATTGTATGAATTGTTCAATTACTAATACATAAGACATGCTGATAAAAGCTATGTGTCACACAAAAGACATAAGATGTGACACAAAAAGAATTTTGATCACAAATTTGACACTTCTTTTATCCAATGTCAAATTCATCCTTTCTCTTCATCCAAAATATGGAATACGAGCAGTATATAATATGATCTTAATGACTGTGGTTCTGACAGCTATTTATTATTGTCTCTCCGAAAATAGATTACAAGCATGGTCTTAAATCCTGATCCCTCTTTTTTAACAATTGTGAAGTTAAATTGATTTTAGCATGTCATTTTTAAGTTATGTCCCAATTCAATTCTCTCTTTATTTATTCCTATAATAATTTGGTTTAAATTTAAGCAAAGGAAATTTTTGCTGTTTATATACGTCACATATTTTAGTCATTGTGGAAATGGACCTGGTTTCAGCCAATGACATTTTATTCTATTTAAGTCTAACAAACGTTAAGGTAAATTAATAATTCAGTCACAAAGAGGAGGTCTAATAGACTAAAACACATAATTTCCATATATTGGCAACTTTACAAATGTACAACATCATTGCCCAGACGTCTGTGCAAGCCATTAGTCTTCTGTAACATATAATATTATACAACTTGTATCTGGGACAGCACTAACACTTAGAGGGCATTTCCAGAGATTTAGATTGATCTTACTAGATCGACCTAACTCCCTGGGGGTTCACGCTAAATTGCAGTCAGCCGACCGCGCGCGGAAGTTAATTACCCCCTTACAGCTTGTAGTAGGCGGGACGGACAATTAAGCCAGATTATCTGACAGTAATCTAGTGAGACTCCCCATGGGGATAGATCGATCTAAAATCTATGGGAATGCGCCCTTACTAATTTAGCCAAATGCTATTTATTTAAAATTGACTTAAATTGGCTAAACAAAATAGAGTTGGTTTGACTTGTTTTAGTCAAATTTAAACCATTTGGAGAAGAAAGTGATGAAAGGGAATGATTTGGCTTAGAAAAAAAATTCTAAAGCTACCCGGTGTATAACATGTAATAGTGTACAGCTGTTTTCAAGCTATCACACTGTATCTTCTACAGATAAGAGATGTAACAACCACAAGATACATCTGTGATTGTCTTTAAATAGCCCACAGAAATATAAGTATGTGTATGATACACCTCAGCTCAGACCATTATAGCCCATTAACTGACAAATGTTACATATCACACTGCAAATGTAAAACTATATTTAAAACCATATACAGTGCACTGTTCTAAGATAATGGGAAATTATTACACCTGGGGCCCATTAAAAAAAGTGCCTTTCACAAAAAAAGAATACAAAATGCTTCCCAGGTGGCTTTTTTTTAAACTCTGAGAGCAAAGCGTGATTACAAGACTAAGTATCTGACAATGATTTTCATTCTCATTGGTGACAATAGAATATCTAGGCACTAGAACTTGTATCTCAACTGCTGAGTCAATGCAGGATAATTTGTTCACCAAGCAATTTAAGACCATCATCACAAAAGGCAAAATAAAGCACGACAGAGAAGAATTTCATCAGATGCTTTATGTAAAAGTTACAAAAATAAAATTATTAAAGTGATTTTTTTCTTCAATCAACAGCTTAATATTGAAATTATTTACCTCCACACCTCTGCCTTGCATTGAGTAGAATACAGAGAATCACATTGGAAATGAGAGGAAGCACGTTAGCCTGTTAATCTGATTGCATTCAGCAAGAGTCCCCTTGGAGTTAATGCACATTAGCTACTGTTTGTCAACAAATTTTGTTGTGAGGTTCCAGAGTCAGATGACCTACAATAGCTACCAGAATTGTCAAATGATAAAAAGGGTCACTGAGCACTTACAAATTTGTCCTCACAAATACAACCCTCTAGTGGAGACATATCTGACAGATATGTGACTGATATGTAAAATTAAAACCAAACAGCCAAAACCACAGCAGCTGATGGTGATGGATGACCTTTTTTAAAGTGACTTAATAAGGCCCAGATCCTGATGGGAAATTTAGCAGTGACAAGAATTAGACCTAGTTTTCTCTTGAGGTTAATGAGGTATGGAGGTAATGTTGTTACTGTGCCAGTGTCTGTGAGCATGTAGAGAAAATGTAAGTGTGTGAAGGGGGGAGGGGGTAAAGAGAGAGAGAGAGAGAGAGGAGGGAGGGGTAAAAGAGAGAGAGAGAGAGAGAGAGAGAGAGAGAGAGAGAGAGGAGGGAGGGGTAAAAGAGAGAGAGAGAGAGAGAATGTTTAACTTGCAATTGAAACTTCACTGAGCACACTTCGTTATATAAAACTGAAAACATAAATCAGTTAATTGACACTAGTGCACTTTTGTCGCTGAACACAAATCACATCCTTGTGACAAACAATGACACTAGTCAGTGAAGACACAAAAATTGCCTTTACCTAACTCTATACTGACAATGTAAGCTCAAAGTTCATGTGCAATTTGAAGGAGGTTTCAACCTTAGGCAAAAAAAAAAAAAAAAAAAAAATGTCTGTTTGAAAGTAATATAAACACATAACAACCATCTGGTGAAGGAAATAAAACCTTTGAAAAAATCATTTATTCTTATCTAATATGTAATGTGAGCAGACGTTTGACATCGAAACCTTTGTCTGAAATATATACATACGACTTCACCTTTAATGCATCAATCATGTACAGAAACGATATCAACTAGCACAAATCATCATGCGTCAGTACTTACGTACCTTTTTCACAACAACATGAGAAAGCACATACGCTCTTGTAGATCTACACCATAGAAAAACACAAATAAGTGTGCTAACACATGACTATTTGTGCTTCTTTGTTCACCAGAAATCTTGTCAACTGATGCACACATTCTAGTCTGTAAACTTACCTTGAAGAAAATGAATCACCATCTTGAAACAATATTTCAAGTACTGTACACTAAAAGCTAATAAAAAAACCACTGGAGGCATTTATGTCTTGGCCAATTTCAAGTATGACAACAGACTTTCCATATCTCCTGAGAGTTTTACAACAAAAAGGACAACAAAGCTACTACTAGTACCTAGCTAGGCTGCAGACATTTAATGCCAGTGGTCAATTTTGAGCAGTGTGGACTTCTCTTTGTGAGTTCTACAGCAATAAAAATCCAAGCCAGACAAAGGAAATGCTTTCAATCCTTGCTGATCCATAATGGCTTCCTTCTTTGTTAACATCCTGTCTCTATGACATACCAGAGGAACCATGTCTTGCCTCACGTTTAGGCTGTATTCCCAGAGATTTTAGATCGATCTATCCCCGAGGAGAGTCTCACTAGATTACTGTCAGATAATCCGGCTTAAATGTCCGTCCCGCCTACTACAAGCTGTAAGGGGGTAATTAACTTTCGTGTCCGCCCGGCTGACAGCTATTTAGCGTGAACCCCCAGGGAGTTAGGTCGATCTAAAGTAGATCGATCTAATCTCTGGAAATTGGGTCATATAGTCAATGCTTCTTTCACCACCTTATTTGTTCTAACATGATGATATTATCATCACTGAAATTAAGCACTGATAAAGAAGCCATAGCAAAGCTCACCTGAGCAAAGAGATGAAAATGGCAAGGCATCAAACATTATTGTACAAAAAAAAGAAAGAAAAAAGGAAAAAAAAAACAAGAAAAAAAAACAGGAAAAAAGCCAATTCACTTTTAAAAGCTTTCAAATAACCTTTCCCTGCCATTTCTTACAAAGCATTATCTTGTGCAACAGTCTTCAACTGAAGAGAGCATTTCTTACTGTTGCCTTCCAAATCAAGTTAAGATATGTCCTTAGGCACTGTTGTTGTTACTGTCATATGAATTTGACATCCATCCAGCTTTAACAGCCTTTACTGAAAAGTCTCCATTTAATTCTCATATACATTTGAACAATTTTTTTTTTATACAATCAGTGTTCTTGTAACAACTCTTAAAGAATTCCATTATTTTTTTTAATCTTTAAGCTGGACCAAGGCTAAGAGTTTTGCTTTTTATGAATGGTAAGATTATGATAAAACCTAAGTAATGCAGGATTATAATGTACATATGAAATTCATAATATTAACCATCAACAGTACATACAATGAAAAAAAAACAAAAAAAAAAAAAACAGAATTGAATATCATAAAATCTAAGTCAAACCATTTACTTGTAGTGAGGAATTCCTCCTGCTCCAGTAACTCATTCATGATCAGTTATCATACTCAATATAGTCCATTATCCTACTTCACATTCCATTATCATACTCCATATTCCATTAATATTGATTTGAATGCTGCTTTTTGTGTCTGTGGCTGCATCACGTCACTTGTGAAATATCTTTTCCACGTTAACTTAATAAAAGAAACCAATCATAACTCATGCTCTTAAACCTCAATTAATACCCGAGTGCTTAATAAATTTACATTGCGGTACTTTAAGAAGCAAGCATTTGGTATAGGAATACCTGAACCGAAGTCTGAAAATGGCCAAAAAAGTACACAGCACATATTTGAACATTTCACTTTTTTGACCGAACACAATAAATCTTAAACTGTCTTCGCAAAATAATAGCTGTCCCAGCCCAGGGTAGTGACCCAGATATGGAGGCCACTCTCGGTACAATGGGAGGACAATACTTGCAGTGTGCATAAAGTCTTTAGACCAGTGGAAATCATTGGAGATAGACTAAAACTTCAATGACAACTTGGCATAAAATCAAGTGAGTTTTCACAGAATCTGGAGGACAGAGAGGTCAGAAATAATGGCAAACTACTACAGCCACCACAAAGGTTCACTTTATTTATCTATAGGTATATCTCTGTTTGTTTTTTCATATGTTCTGTTGAATTATAGTCTATGAAATTCAACATGTTTTGGGTGTCATTTTTGTATTGCTTTCTAAAAAGACACACCTGTCAACATTATCTAGGAACAGTAAAACCTACCTCACACTTCAATCTCCCATGTTTTCTAGTCTCATGATGCCGCAGAGTGTCAACAGCTTTGACATGTGTATAAAATCTTGCACTTTCCTTAAAATGTCTTTAATGCTACTGTCGACCCTTTAATGTGAAAGCAAATCCTACTCATCCTCAACATGACGACTGAATCTAAAGGGTTAACAAAGGATGAATACAAAAGTTAGAGAGAACTGTAGGTGTGTGGGTGTGTGTGTGTGTGTGTGGGGGGGGGGGGGGGGGGGGGGNTATGAAATTCATAATATTAACCATCAAAAGTACATACAATGAAAAAAAAAAAAAAAAAAACAGAACTGAATATCATAAAATCTAAGTCAAACCATTTACTTGTAGTGAGGAAATCCTCCTGCTCCAGTAACTCATTCATGATCAGTTATCATACTCAATATAGTCCATTATCCTACTTCACATTCCATTATCATACTCCATATTCCATTTATATTGATTTGAATGCTGCTTTTTGTGTCTGTGGCTGCATCACGTCACTTTTGAAATATCTTTTCCACGTTAACTTAATAAAACAAACCAATCATAACTCATGCTCTTAAACCTCAATTAATACCCGAGTGCTTAATAAATTTACATTGCGGTACTTTAAGAAGCAAGCATTTGGTATAGGAATACCTGAACCAAAGTCTGAAAATGGCCAAAAAAGTACACAGCACATATTTGAACATTTCACTTTTTTGACCGAACACAATAAATCTTAAACTGTCTTCGCAAAATAATAGCTGTCCCAGGCCAGGGTAGTGACCCAGATATGGAGGCCACACTCGGTACAATGGGAGGACAATACTTCCAGTATGCATAAAGTCTTTAGATCATAGGAAATCATTGGAGATAGCCCCAAGTTTCACGTTTTGGCACAAAATCAAGTGAGATTTCACAGAATCTGGAGGACAGTGGGGTCAATAATAATGGCAGACTACTACAGCCACCACAAATATAAGGTTCACTCTATAGGGATATATATCTCTGTTTGTTTTTTCATATGTTCTGTTGAATTAAAGTCTATGGAATTTGTCATGTTTTGGATGTCATTTTTGTATTGCTTTCTAAAAAGACACACCTGTCACCAGTATCTGAGTGTCGACAGCTTTGATATGTGTACAGAATCTTACACTTTCCTTTAAATATCTTTATTGTTCCTGTCCCTTTAATGTGAAAGCAAATCCTACTCACTATTGATCCTCAACATGACGACTGAATCTAAAGGATTAACAAAGGATGAATACAAAAGTTAGAGAGAACTGTAGGTGTGGGGGTGTGTGGGGGGGGGGGGAGGGAGAGGTTAATTACTCCTGCAACTCTCCTGCTGTCCCTGGCATGGCAGTTTTTATACTCATTCTGTCTTCAACAAGTGCTTGCAACGTGAAGCCACTAACATGTTTAGACTTAAAATTTAAATATCATTATCAATGTTTTCAAGCATTACATTCATTTCTAAAGACAAATAAGCCATCCGATCATGGAACTGTGGTATGTCTATGCTATTCCCATAATACATAAGGTATATAAAACTCGTTTTTCTTCTGTGTTATATTGTGGCTGGTTTCTATGATGCGATCAGCTGTCAGTCGTACATGAGCAAAAATACAATTAAAATCGCTTCCCTGAGGCAATCACGGTAAAGTAGAACAGCTAAAAAACATGCCAAGAATAAGCTGTGCAACACTGTTTTTACACCTTGGTGTTCTATTTCAGATCACGACGGCTGTCGTGACAAGTTATGAGTCAGACTGCATGAAGCCATTTTTGCTCTAAAGCTCTTTGTTTGCAAGCACGTCACTTTGAAAAGAATTGCATTTCTTCAAACAGGCTTCTTTAAAGATAGATTCAAATAGCTACCTACCACTAAAAATGCTAATTGACTTAAAATGATTATCATCGCATCTTAAGACTAAATTCGTTAAGATGTTATAAAGATAAAAGCCCACCTCAAAGAAGCAATCTCGATTTTCTTGTTTTGACGTCAGCCATCTTTGTTGTGGTGGTCACGTGACACTAATCAGTCAAATTCTGGGTCACTAACTCGAGACGGGACTGAGACGGGGCACAGAAAAGGGGTAGGCTTACTACGGAGTCCAGACAGTCTGTTAGTGAAGTGGATACTTCGCAATCATTTTTTAAGTCTGTATCATATATGCATATTTTGATCAATGCATCCAAACTGATGCTACAGAGGAGATCCAGTATTATTTGAGGGGGGGGGGGGGGGGGGGGNGAAAGACGGTTCTGTAAGAAGATTTCACCAGAAAAGGATCGCTTTATGACATATGTGGCATTATTTTTTCATCTTGCGCATGAAACGTGGGTTTTACAGTTTTACACTAGAGTTTGTGCGTTAAATGAATTTTATGGATAATGCTCCCTTGCTATCTTTCATCCAGGGCGGATCCAAGATTAGTTGATGGGTGGGGTGGGGGGAGGGGGTCAGCGGATGCGAAGCTGCCCCCCCCCCCTTGGCATGGGGTTTGGGACCCGCTTATTTTTTTTTCAATAGGCCAGCCAACTTTAGATAAACGATCTACAAATCATGTTGTTAAAAATTCAGACCACAGTCTTAGTTTAGTTTCAGTTTAGCTTAGTATTTTGACTTTCATGTACAACGGTAGGCCTAGGCCTACCTTCCTAGGCCTACCAGAATATAAAAAATATTTTGATTTATTGAAATATTACTCTCCAATATTTCAGTGTACCGTCTTTGAGGAATACACTCCTTATTAGTGTAGAGTCGACCACAATTTACTTCTTTTAGAGACGACAAAGATCTAGCGCATGTAGGCCTACGTGTACAGGTGTAGGCCTATAGCCTATAGTTTCTACGAAGTGTTTTTTATTTTTTTTTTTAATTTTTTTGAGTTTAACATCAATGACCCCCAGAGCCTTAAAATTAACTTGTTACTTAGAGTAATGCAAGTTCGGTTTTTAAAAAGCAAATAATGAATTTTCTGGAAATTTCGATTACCAGAAAATGAAGATCTACAGTCCGATTTCATGTTTTAAGTTTTAATTTTACCGTTAAGGCCTATAATTACATGTACGAGAGAATTAACCATATACAATTTCCATTACAATAACAACAGAAGATTAAAAAACCTATAACTCAAAAACGGGTTTGCAGATTGTTATTTTTTTCAACAATTTTGGGCAAGGTGTAGGCCCTTGGTGATTAAGTGTTAAGTTTTGGCATTTTTGAAGAAAACTTATGGACGCGTATGATTTCATTACCAATACAAAAATCGGCTTCGTGATAATATATGCATAACACCACTCTTAAACGTTTTCTTTGTGATTTTATTGAGACAAAAAGTTAAAAAGGATGAATTCAGTCAAAAAAATCCAGTACAATCACTTAGGGCTACTTTAATTTTAGAAAAGATTTTTTTATTTTGGCACAGCGTCCAAAATTGCAATCAAAAATGAACTCGGCGTTAAAAGTTTTTTTTTTTTTTTTTACCAATCACATCGAGCTAGACTTACAGAATCAACCAATCAACGGCGAACTGTTCCTGATTCCCCGACAGGGGTAACTGACCATTGTCCAGGGTGAGCTTATCGTGCAGGAAATGAGGAACTTCTCTCCGCCAACGGTGACCCACCACGAAGCCCCATTGTAACTCCACCGGCTAAAGTCGCATCCACAGCTGCTGCCCTGAACTGTGTACGTTTTCTTCTTCATCTGGCAGTCAATCATAATATCGGAACTCACGATGTTCTGCGGGCATTGGATTTCGTAGATCTCGCTGCCCTGCTGGAGCTGAACTTTTAGATTCGACCCCCAGGAAGGGTTGGTCAGTGTCTTGCACGAGCAGGATGGGGATGTCACAGGTAGTTGGGTGACAGGGGGCTGAGTGGGTTTTACGGTAGGTTTGGTAGCCGGTGGTAGCGTCACTTGCTGCTGGTTGGCGCACCCGCTGTTAACAGAAGATGGCGTCTGTCTCGGCGGGGACTGTTGGGTTCCGTAAACTACCAGCTTCACGTCGTACACGGTACCTACAAACGAAGATATCATAGGAATGTATGTAAATATTTCTGAGAAAAAAGCCTTGCTGCTCCTTTAAATTGTCTGATGAACTTTATTGGAAAAGGGCCTTGTAGGCAACATTTAAGATATTAAAAGGGGGTAAGAGGTCCTGACTATAAGTAAATATGTCCACCTTACCAGAATGTCCTTGGTTAGGGTACAGGCTATCGATGACCACCTCCCACCAGCCGGTGCCTCGCTCTCCCCAGAACTGGACGCTGGACACTGTCAGCTCCAGATAGGCCGACCACTGGTCGTTGGGTCTACCGGGGATCATGACAGACTCCGTGCGGGACGGGGAACGTAGGTTGACCTTGACAAAGCCGCGCTTGGTGAATTTCGTCAACACGTACAGCTGCACGTGCTCCACGTGATTGACAGAGCATTTCCAGCTTGGAAGATTTAGGGTCACGGTGCCAGGAATGGTTCTGTTTAATATAATATAATATAATATAATATAATATAATATAATATAATATAATATAATATAATTTACGTTGCACAATACCAAATAATCTTGCCAACATTACAGCAAAGATTAGGAGAATGGGGTTAAAGTGTAATTACTTCTATTACTGGAACATTCGCACTGTAAATATTGTGGCAAACCATACAGAACATGCCAAACGACATATTTTGCACACGCTGCAACAAAAGAAAGACCAGAAGAATGAGATTTTAGATATCGGGTAAATATATCTTCTACTTTTTTACCTGTTAATATTGCGCAGAGTTGCCTCGCAGGACTTTAAGGTTGGCACTGAGCGCCACTTCTCAGCGTAGCGAACCATCTTCTCGGCGTCCAGCAAACCGAAACCGAAAGCACGGCTCACTGGGAAAAAAAAAGACAATCAGAAATAATCGGATGGAAAAAAAATAACAACAACAGATTTATTTTTTTACTCTCAAACGGAGCCGTACTATGAGACGCATAAAGGACGCCGCCCAGTGCAAAGGGGGCTTAAGGAGCGTATACGGTTATGACGTCACCTTTTTTCCCTGCCGCGTTCCAGGACCAGAGATTGCCTCTACCAAAGTTGTTGTTGGCAGTTTCTGCGATCAGATGTTGCACGTCACGGGCACTAAGACGAGGGCTGTTGAAACAGAAAAGAAGAATGAATTAGTAGGCCTATCATATGTTACATTTTTAAAACTTAAAACACATATTTATTTATTTATTTACTTTATGAAGGTAAAGCATCTTTTTTCTCCTTGTTATGTTAAAATCAAACAAGATAATTAATGAAGATTTACAAATTAATAGCAATAACAGTAATAACTCGCGTCATTTTTGATAACATGTAACTGAAATGATTTAAAAACCTCTATCGTAAAAAAAAGACATTTCACGTAGCGTTATCCCGTTTTTATCTCGTCGTTGTGCTAATTCATACTGTGCTTACTTTGCCTCCAGCGCCAAGGCAATTATACCAGCCGCCAGGGGCGCTGCCGCCGAGGTCTCCCCAAAATCGCTGGTGCAAGATGATCTGCCTGTGGTTCCTGGTGTAATCTGGGAATAAAAGGCTTTGTACATTCTGAACTTTTCGAGGAGAATATTTTAGTTATTAGATGAATATCCAGTAGATTCATTACAGTGAGCATTCATGCTAATCTATTTCTTAATGTATTTTTAATTCACTACAGTTTTTTACAACTCTGATATCTTGTTCACATTCGAACTTTATAGTATTGTGAAATCTTCTGATTTTAATTTCAAACTCGGTAAAATCTCTCTTGAGACACGTTTGCCAAAAGTTTGTCGGTCTTACGATTCTATTCGGTGTCCAGTCCTTGCTAGAATCTCGCGTGAACGTGGTCGCCATTATAGCTCCGCACTGCTCTCCGCTGGACATCATTTCTCCGTCCGCTGTCACTCCGCTGATCGGAATGGTGTAGATGCTGTTGGCAAACCCGTCATAAGCGCAACTGTCCCCGTTCGAGCCGCCATTGCCCGAAGCGAACACGTATATGGACCCCCTGCCTCCTCGACCCTAAAAGGAGATGCTTTTGGAATTTGTCATCTACGCCATTGGGAAAAGCTGGATCGTTTAAGGGATTCACAATCGTTAACGTTTACGGGATGTACCCACCTTTTTAAGGTCTGAATTGGAAAAGATAAGTAGCTTAACAATTAAGTTTTCAACCCCTACTGGGGGCCATCCTGTACCTGTGTGGCCCCCCTCTGCAGGGCCTCAGCTGCACGTGCTCCAAGAGGTTTTAAGTCAAACCCGGTCCTTGCCGACCCCCAGCTACAGCTGTAAATGCTGACGTCATACATGGATGACGTCAGAGCGTTTGCCTCCATGAGATCAGTGGTAGGGTTGTCTCCATAGAGACGTATACCTGTAGCAGAAAATTGAAAGTTCGTCAAAGATTAAGAAAATTTGTTCAACATTTTTGGACTTTATTCTCTTTCATACCCTCATTGTGGCCCCTAAGTTGGATGTTCAGTCAAATACCATATGACACCCTAGCAACCACTGGGTCAATTTTTGGGTCAACGCACTGTATGTCACGCTGTAGCCAACTGTGGGCAACGCTGGGCAACCTACGGTATGCCAACCTAGGGCCTTAAGGTAATGCTGTATCAATTAACACTGTGCCACACTAGGAACACTATGCATTATAATCAACGCTGGACCAACCTAAGTTATGCTTGAATGTAACCAAAGCTGGGCCAGCCGATTCATACACCCCAGCAGTCTCCTACCTGCTATTTTAGCCCCGGGTGCCACGCCCACCCCGCATACTCCGTTAGGTGCAGCGGCTATGATGCCTGCAGCGCTGGTACCATGACTGAAACAAGATTGGTATATATAAAATACCAAATTAACCAAATTAACTACATTCTATACAACTTGATAATATTTTCTGTTAGATAATTGGAAATTAACAAAATATGAAGTCTGCACTGACACCCCCCCCCCCCCCCCCAGTGACAAAACAAAGCAATATCTTTTACACTCACAGCCAGAGTGTGTTTTCTCTTCATTTGGGAAGGGCTGAATGCCGAATCCGCTTAGATGTTTTGACGGTTTAAAATGACATGGAATTTAGTTGTAACATCACAGATACATGGGGATTAAAATACTGTATCCGGATAATATCGGAAAGTTACTTATTCACCCGACCGTACATGTCACTCACTTGTCGCTCCACAGGTTCCCGGGATCGGATGATCCAGCCCAGTTTCTTTGGTAGTCGTAACTCTTATCTAGATTCTTAAAAAATTCGAATTCTGTAATTGCAGCATTGCGTTATAAGTCAAGGCTTGTAACCTTAAATAATGTATTGACTTTTTTTAGCTTTTCTTTAAATGGTTATTGTTAAGTTGGCCGTACAAAACTTTTTCGTATTACAACTGTATATCCATCGTAGGCAAGAAGATTGCCCTCTGTTCTGCAGCAAATAGACTACATGTACTTAACCAACTGATGAAAGTTATGGTTCAAATACATACTAAGTACACAGTCAGATTTGCCATGAAAATTTTATGTCTGGGAATTTAGGGACAGTGAATAGCCCAGGAAGGGTGGCACGATACTCACCACTGCGTCTTTAAGATCTCTGTGCCTAGACCACACGCCGTCGTCTACCACCGCCACAAGAACGTTCTGTCCAGTTTTCCCCATACACCAAGCTTGTGTGATTTTACTGTCTAGATTCCTCCCACTGCCCTGAAATAATAATAATAATAATAATAATATCAATAATAATAATATAAGTGGACCGTGTGGTACTCGCAGTATCGAGCAATACTGAAAACACAAAGCGCTGTTACTGGTATCTGAATGCATCGTACGTGTATACGTGAATCTGAAATCCCTACGTACACTGTATGTACGCACATACGCACGCATATGCTTCACACTCTTCTACGTGTGACCTGCCAAAAGGTTTATCTGTCAAACCCAGAACCGCTTGACACACTCCCCAAGGTCAACCTTGAAGGTCAAAGGTCAAACTTACCATGTACCACTGCTGGTAGTACCATGATGGGTCGTTCACGTTGAGATTTCCATATTTCGCTAGTTGTCTTTTGACTGCTGTCTGCTGTTGCGTCCACTGCAAAAGTGAAACATGTATTGGCTTTGTTTACTGCATACGTGCCTAAAGGCAAAGTCACTTGTGGCATACATGGTATGTGGTACCTTCGCTGGGAATAATTGAAAAATGACGAAGGCACATACCTGGCTAGTGAACGGGAATGATAGATTGAATACACTAGAAAACAGAAGTGACATAATTTAGTTGTGTTTGATTATATTGTTATATTGAACTTCACTCTTTGAATGTATATATGATTCAGGAAAAACGTCTCAGACTTCTTAATTACTTATGCTGTCTTCTTCACTCAGTTTACGATGGACGGTAGCGTCTTTCTGGTGATGGAGTTTGGACACGCTATGATGAGTGAACGAATAGATGTCCTCGAATATCTACAGATATAATATATTATATTCCACCTCATAGGTAACAATTAAAAAGTAGGTTTCATACCCGCAAGGACTGTCATGCCTAAAAAAAACACCCCCCTTCAAATATTTCTGGATCTGCTCCTGTCTGGGCATAAATATCTAGAAATACATATATGTAATAATACGACGTTTTTTTAGAGATGGGATCGTTCCAAATATCAGATGCAGCCGTGGTAGATTAGGAACACTGAGGAGGATCTGGAACTATTCGGATTGGTTGATATACGAATATTTTGCCCCACAGCATTACTTTGATATATGGAAAAGGAAAAGGAGGCGATCGAGTTTCCAATGGCAAAATTGTGAACTCTTTTGTCTGCATTTTATAACGGGAAGGAGACTGCTATTGATCAGAGCTGAAACTTTAGACCATATTATCACATTAGTCTGAAAGTAATACCTACGGACAAAAAATCTTGAAAATGTTGCCCGTTTTTTTTTTTAACCTAAGTAAGGTGCTCTCTTCAAAATGGCGTCCTTTCTGCTTATGAATTGGGCATTTCTTGTATTATAAACTCCTATCCGATCGTCTAACCTTGTCTTAAGCTCTCGTCTTACATACTACAGCCCTTTCTTATCTGACACATCGTGGTTAGTAAACTAAATGTCATGACTCCGTAATCAACATAATCAAGTAAGCAGCTTAAAGGATGATATGGCATAGTTTCTTTGGTTGTGAGACTTAAGATGTGTTGTTACTGAAGTTGATTCGACTGAACACGACACACCTCTACCAGGGCGACAGATTTTTCACAAGATAATCACAGATATATGTCTTTAAATAAATTGACGGTTATTTGTTTTTTTCCCATTTTTCTCTATAATATCTGCCACCCTGGCAGAGGGTACATATGCCCCATCTTCACAAGTGACCTGGTTACGATAAGGTCACCATAAACAGTGTAACTTATCCCTCCGGCCGCCCACTGATACTTAGATAGATAGATCGCATGGTATAAGATGGCTTAGTTTGAATTGAATTGAATTGAACTGAATCATAACTTGAAATCCTTCAGTAATATTCCCTTGCTTTTAAATTTACACTGCTTGGGTGGGTTCAGGTTAAAAGCTTTGGGGACCGAAAAATGACCATAAAACCCATTATTATGCAACTTAATTACAGGGGGTATTTTAACCCAATTACAGTTCTGAGCCCATTCTGACCGAGGATTGCTCTTATTTTAATGTTCCTTGAATCTACATCACTAAGATCGCATTCACAACGAGTTGAGCCAGGCTTTACAAATCCTGGGGACTTAATATGGCGGACGTACATGTATGAAAGAAAAATTTTTAATAGTCTCTCCGCCTTTCACACGCCTCCCCATGTGTCGTCCCAATGGAGCCGAGATTTAATGACTGTCCCCCCGCAGGGACGACGTGTGGGGAGGCGTGTGAGAGGCGGAGAGACTATTAAAAGATTAGGCGGTTTTTCTTTCATGTACGACCGCCATATTTAGTCCCCAGGATTTGTATGGCCTGGCTCAACTCGTTGTGAATGCGATCTAAGACCTCATTCCCATACCTTGTTTCATCTAGCGGAGGGGATTTTTTTGTCTGACACGCCTACTGAAGCTGTTAGGGGGTAATTAACTATTAGCAGCTTCAGTAGGCGTGCCAGATATGTAAGCTACTTAAACGGAGGGCAATTTAGCGAGAATCCCCAACCAAATTACTTTAGGTCTATATTGTACTTTCTTTCTGATGAAATAAATACTCAACAATTTCTGCCCCATACTTTAATTACTAACCGTATCCACGTAGTCAACGCCATATTTGATGGCGAGGCGCCTAGCCTCCTCATTGCCTCTAAGAATTTTTACAGCCCATTGGTTGGTGTAAGAAGGCCTGTAGTATGGATATCTGTAAGAAAATGAGGCAAATTACAGCTCTACAGGTATTATCTTTCATGCATGTCAAAGTCAAGGGAAAATCTGTTGTGGCAGGCTTCACACACGGTCTAAGACTTGGCTGAGATGTCTAAAATCAGATAGCCGACTATGCGAAGTCAAATTTAATTTGCGATGCTGGTAAAGAAACTTTTTACGAATGGCTGGCTCACAATTTCTGTTGTTGACATGACTGAATGAGCAATTCTCACCAACTTTGCTCATATGTTCTTCGAAACAGTATTGAAAGCAGGATACGTTTTTCTTTTTAACTGGGCCGTGGAACAGGAACATATACCGCTCGGCGGTTTCCTATATCCGTTAAAAACAGTTTTTGGTTTTATTTTTATGTTTTTTATCGATACGTTTACAAACCCAAATTCCACAAGGCAAAATTTAATAAGAGTAACAAAGTATCCTGTTGTTGGTTATTGGAAGACCTAGTCAACACGTTTTCATGCCTAAAAGATTCATATACTTTGGAAGCCTCCTACAACGCAGGACTCCGCCACAACTAAGACAAAATATAGATAACAATAAAATTTAAATAACTCTAAAATATTAAGAGATTCGAATTTGGGTGTACCTAAAAACGCATCTTTTTCTCCTAAATAACTGTCGTTCCAGAACTATACATCAAATATTGTGAAAAATCTTTTGCGAAATGCCCACAAAAAAAAAAAAATAAAAAAAAAAAATAAGAAACAGAAAAAAAATCATTGAAATTACAGTATAACATCGGTCGTTGATGTAAAAATAAATTTAATCCCTCGGCTTACCTGCATTCGGCAGTAATAATAAAGCACAACGACCATAGTGCGAAGAACCACACCATCTTCTCTCTGACTCTTTCTTCGTTGCTGAGATCCACACAAGTTACCTGTTTGCTACCGTGTAAGCTCTGTGGCTTCCTTATCTGTTGGCAAACGGGAGGACAGATTGAGCTGTATCGACACCCACGTCTTTATATCTCCAGCACTAGTTCGCACTGTCGTGATCCTCGTGTCCTTGTTGATCCAGGATCTACCGAAGAAGTGGCTCCAATTATAATTGTGCAATATGTCCATAAAAAAATATTAGTTCGTGGTATTAAGCGTTAATCGTGACTTCAAAGGTGCTGGTGGCATATCAGGGCTGTTAATTCCTTAAACGGGGGGGGTTCGTCCCTTCCCTCCTTTCTCAACTGACATTTTTTGGTTCATTTTTAGAAAAGTCCCTTTCACACTATTCATGTTGGCTTTCTGCATCAATTTTCCTATGGTCTTACGAAATTTCATTTTACTGTCATACTCATACATACAGGCATCTTCTCTAAACCAACAGTGAATTGTTACAAAGGGTACCCCTTTTGTATTTTACCTACTTTACAACACACATTTTACTTTCTATCACTGTATATATTGAACAGACTGTAAGCAACCGGAACAAGCAACAAACGCCCAGAAGCAACTTTAACCCGTTACACCAAATGATCCAGGATATACCTAAAACAAGGAGTGGAGGAGGGAGCGTAAAATAAAAAAAGGTGTATCTCGCTTCGCTCTCTTATATATATATAAATAAGTACACAAGGACATTTTCCAGTGAATTGATTGGCTTTATCTCATGTCGCTTGTTTACTGGTTTAAAGAGAGGGATAGATGAGAATAGGGGTTATCTTCAAAGCTATGAGGGGTACGTGGTCGGTCATCATCCCCCCCCCAACCCAGGATCCATCATTTGAGTGCACTAATGAACATGCATGTTCAGCATAGAGGAACAAATGCAATATGATCAATTCACACCTACGCTTCCAATTCATGTAACCGATTTTTATATTAGCAGCGGTCATACGCGACAGGTGGAAGAGATCTATCGTATCTCACGGCTGAAACACGGAACAGTGAACAATGGCAAACGGTGTGGACAACTTTACTATAACGGTGTTTTGTGTCCTAGGACTAAGGTATGATTTTGAATCGCTGGGTCGATTTGGCATTTGAGGAGAACATTGTTTTGGAAAAAATGTTTAATCCCTGCTTTATTTTTAGAATGACCTAACCGCAGATTAGTAGTTAAAAGTAGCACGTGTTCTGATAAAGAGTGCGTAACCGTTTCAGGTCGCTTGAAATTATTCTCAGCCAAACGCAAATGAAAAAAAAATGAGTAGAAAAAAACCAAGCATTTGTACATGAAAGGTAGTCATGCACCTTTAATCACAATTAACACTACCTCGATACACGTACGTAGCAAAACAGGATACATTTTGTGTTTCGATCTTCTCAGCCTCGTGAAGGGACAGGGAACTGAATCAAGGGCACTGTTTGCCAGGTCAGCTTCAGGCACATTCAACATTGCAGACCCAAGATGGGACAACCAACGGTGGTATATGGTAGGAGTGGAATTGAACGTCTTGACTGTGTTGTACACTTGTCAAAATACATGGCTATCTCTCTGTCTATTGTTATTATTTTATTATCATTATTATTGTGCTCGGACTGGTGTCTTAAGAGTATTTTATTGATACATACATATACGTTGTATGCACTTTAAACTTTGATAAATATTTATTTTGTTATAATGTTCTACAAAAATTCATAAATAGTTAGTGTTTGTGACAGACAGGAACTTAATAAGAGCATTTCTAGATATATCTCCTGGATAAAAGTACTCAAACTGGTTAGGAAGTTAGATACCAATTTTAAATTTGAGTGGTTTTCTGAAACGGGAACCCGTTATATGCTTTTTTTATTTATTTACGAAATGCGGTATCGCTTTATTGTCTCGCAGGACAGCGGCAAGACGCTTGACACAAACATAGCTAAGGCATGGTCACTGTGCAGAACAGGGAAGAACGTGACAGTGGCTGTCGTCGACGATGGCGTGCTTTCGACTCACAGAGACCTGAACGACAAAATAGTGAGTTGTAACGCATACATATACATTTGAACAGCACCTTCTTGTCAAATNGCTAGTGTGTGTTTTCTCTTCATTTGGGAAGGGCTGAATGCTGAATCCGCTTAGATGTTTTGACGGTTTAAAATGACATGGAATTTAGTTGTAACATCACAGATACATGGGGATTAAAATACTGTATCCGGATAATATCGGAAAGTTACTTATTCACCCGACTGTACATGTCACTCACTTGTCGCTCCACAGGTTCCCGGGATCGGATGATCCAGCCCAGTTTCTTTGGTAGTCGTAACTCTTATCTAGATTCTTTAAAAAAATCGAATTCTGTAATTGCAGCATTGCGTTTGATTTAAGTCAAGGCTTGTAACCTTAAATAATGTATTGACTTTGTTTTAGCTTTTCTTTAAATGGTTATTGTTAAGTTGGCCGTACAAAACTTTTTCGTATTAGGCCCTATATCCATCGTAGGCAAGAAGATTGCCATCAGTTTTGCAGCAAATAGACTACATGTACTTATCCAACTGATGAAAGTTATAGTTCAAATACACTAACTACGCAGTCAGATTTGCCATGAAAATTTTATGTCTGGGAATTTAGGGACAGTGAATAACCCAGGAAGGGTGGCACGATACTCACCACTGCGTCTTTAAGATCTCTGTGCCTAGACCACACGCCGTCGTCTACCACCGCCACAAGAACGTTCTGTCCAGTTTTCCCCATACACCAAGCTTGTGTGATCTTACTGTCTAGATTCCTCCCACTGCCCTGAAATCATCATCATCATCATCATCATCATAATAATAATAATAATAATATAAGTGGACCGTGTGGTATTCGCAGTAAAGAGCAATACTGAAAACACAAAGCGCTGTTACTGGTATCTGAATGCATCGTACGTGTGTACGTGAATCTGAAATCCCTACGTACACTGTGTGTACGCACATACGCACGCATATGCTTCACACTCTTCTATGTGTGACCTGCCAAAAAGTTTATCTGTCAAACCCAGAACCGCTTGACACACTCCCCAAGGTCAACCTTGAAGGTCAAATGTCAAACTTACCATGTACCACTGCTGGTAGTACCATGATGGGTCGTTCACGTTGAGATTTCCATATTTCGCTAGTTGTCTTTTGACTGCTGTCTGCTGTTGCGTCCACTGCAAAAGTGAAACATGTATTGGCTTTGTCTGCATACGTGCCTAAAGGCAAAGTCACTTCTGGCATACATGGTATGTGGTACCTTCGCTGGGAATAATTGAAAAATGACGAAGGCACATACCTGGCTAGTGAACGGGAATGATAGATTGAATACACTAGAAAACAGAAGTGACATAATTTAGTTGTGTTTGATTATATTGTTATATTGAACTTCACTCTTTGAATGTATATATGATTCAGGAAAAACGTCTCAGACTTCTTAATTACTTATGCTGTCTTCTTCACTCAGTTTACGATGGACGGTAGCGTCTTTCTGGTGATGGAGTTTGGACACGCTATGATGAGTGAACGAATAGATGTCCTCGAATATCTACAGATATAATATATTATATTCCACCTCATAGGTAACAATTAAAAAGTAGGTTTCATACCCCCAAGGACTGCCATGCCTTAAAAAACACCCCCTTCAAATATTTCTGGATCCGCTCCAGTCTGGGCATGAATATTAAGAAATACATATATGTAATAATACAGCGTTTTTTTTAGAGATGGGATCGTTCCAAATATCAAATGCAGCCATGGTAGATTAGGAACACTGAGGAGGATCTGGAACTATTCGGATTGGTTGATATACGAGTATTTTGCTCCACAGTATAACTTTGATATATGGAAAAGGAAAAGGAGGCGATCGAGTTTCCAAAGGCAAAATTGTGAATTTTTCAACAAATGTAATGAGATGAGAGTTTAGGAACTCTTTTGTCTGCATTTTATAACGGGAAGGAGACTGCTATTGATCAGAGCTGAAACTTTAGACCATATTATCACATTAGTCTGAAAGTAATACCTACGGACAAAAAATCTTGAAAATGTTGCCCGTTTTTTTTAACCTAAGTAAGGTGCTCTCTTCAAAATGGCGTCCTTTCTGCTTATGAATTGGGCGTTTCTTGTATTATAAACTCCTATCCGATCGTCTAACCTTGTCTTAGGGCGTATTCCCATAGATTTTAGATCGATCTATCCCCGTGGGGAGTCTCACTAGATTGCTGTCAAATAATCCGGCTTAAATGTCCGTCCCGCCTACTACAAGCTGTAAGAGGGTAATTAACTTTCGTGCCCGCTCGGCTGACAGCTATTTAGCGTGAACCCCCAGGGAGTTAGGTCGATCTAGTTTGGATCGATCTAATCTCTGGGAAAGGGGTTTTAAGCTCTCGTCTTACATACTACAGCCCTTTCTTATCTGACACATCGTGGTTAGTAAACTAAATGTCATGACTCCGTAATCAACATAATCAAGTAAGCAGCTTAAAGGATGATATGGCATAGTTTCTTTGGTTGTGAGACTTAAGATGTGTTGTTACTGAAGTTGGTTCGACTGAACACGACACATATGCCTTACCCTCTACCAGGGCGACAGATTGATTTTTCACAAGATAATCACAGATATGTCTTTAAATAAATTGACGGTTATTTGTTGTTTTTTTTTCATTTTTCTCTATAATATCTGCCACCCTGGCAGAGGGTACATATGCCCCATCTTCACCAGGGGCGTAACCAGGCATACGCACGGATGCACTTGAGCCAGCCATGATATAATTCTCCATAAATTCAGTGTATTTTTCACGGAATATAATCGTACCTGGGAATTTTCAAAATCTGTGCGTACAATTTTAAATGGTCTGGTTACGGCCCTGTTCACAAGTGACCTGGTTACGATTAGGTCACCATACACAGTGTAACTTATCCCTCCGGCCGCCCACTGATATTTACACCCCATTTCCGTAGATTAGATCGACCTACTTTAGATCGACCTAACTCCCTGGGGGTTCACGCTAAATAGCTGTCAGCCGGGCGGACTCGAAAGTTAATTAACCCCTTACAGCTTGTAGTAGGCGGGACGGACATTTAAGTCGGATTATCTGAAAGTAATCTAGTGAGACTCCCCGCGGGGATAGATCGATCTAAAATCTATGGGAAAAGAGCCTTAGATAGATAGATCGCATGGTATAAGATGGCTTAGTTTGACAGGCCTGCTGTGTTTTGCCGTTTTGAATTATGTCGACCCAGCTTGAATTGAATTGAATTGAACTGAATCATAACTTGAAATCCTTCAGTAATATTCCCTTGCTTTTAAATTTACACTGCATGGGTGGGTTCAGATTAAAAGTTTTGGGGACCGAAAAATGACCATAAAACCCATTATTATGCAACTTATTTACAGGGGGTATTTTGACCCAATTACAGTTCTGAGCCCATTCTGACCGAGGATTGCTCTTATTTAAATGTTCCTTGAATCTACATCACTAAGACCTCATTCCCATAGCTTGTTCGATCTAGCTGAGGGGATTTTTTGTCTGACACGCCTACTGAAACTGTTAGGGGGTAATTAACTATTAGCAGCTTCATTAGACGTGCCAGATATGTAAGCTTCTTAAACGGAGGGCAATTTAGCTAAAATCCCCTACCAAATTACTTTAGGTCTGTATTGTACTTTCTTTCTGATGATATAAATACTCAACAATTTCTGCCCCATACTGTAATTACTAACCGTATCCACGTAGTCAAAGCCATATTTGATGGCGAGGCGCCTAGCCTCCTCATTGCCTCCAAGAATTTTTACAGCCCATTGGTTGGTGTAAGAAGGCCTGTAGTATGGATATCTGTAAGAAAATGAGGCAAATTACAGCTCTACAGGTATTATCTTTCATGCATGTCAAAGTCAAGGGAAAATCTGTTGTGGCAGGCTTCACACACGGGCTAAGACTTGGCTGAGATGTCTAAAATCAGATAGCCGACTATGCGAAGTCAACTTTAATTTGCGATGCTGGTAACGAAACTTTTTACGAAAGGCTGGCTCACAATTTATGTTGTTGACATGACTGAATGAGCAATTCTCACCAACTTTGCTCATATGTTCTTCGAAACAGTAATGAAAGCAGGATAAGTTTTTCTTTTTAACTGGGACGTGGAACAGGAACATATACCGCTCGGCGGTTTCCTATATCCGTTAAAAACAGTTTTTGGTTTTATTTTTCTGTTTTTTATTGATACGTTTACAAACCTAGACTCCACAAGGCAAAATTTAATTAGAGTAACAAAGTATCCTGTTGTTGGTTATTGGAAGACCTAGTCAACACGTTTTCATGCCTAAAAGATTCATATACTTTGGAAGCCTCCTACAGCGCAGGACTCCGCCACAACTAAGACAAAATATAAATAACAATAAAATTTAAATAACTCTAAAATATTAAGAGACTCGAATTTGGGTGTAACTAAAATCGCATCTTTTTCTCTTAAATAACTGTCGTTCCAGAATTATACATCAAATATTGTGAAAAACCTTTTGCGAAATGCCCCCCAAAAAATTAGAAACAGAAAAAAATCGTTGAAACTACAGTATAACATCGGTCGTTGGTGTAAGAATAAATTTAGTCCCTCGGCTTACCTGCATTCGGCAGTAATAATAAAGCACAACGACCACAGTGCGAAGAACCACACCATCTTCTCTCTGACTCTTTCTTCGTTGCTGAGATCCACACAAGTTACCTGTTTGCTACCGTGCCAGCTCTGTGGCTTCCTTATCTGTTAGCAAACGGGAGGACAGATTGAGCTGTATCGACACCCACGTCTTTATATCTCCAGCACTAGTTCGCACTGTCGTGATCCTCGTGTCCTGGTTGATCCAGGATCTACCGAAGAAGTGGCTCCAATTATAATTGTGCAATATGTCCATAAAAAATATTAGTTCGTGGTATTAAGCGTTAATCGTGACTTCAAAGGTGCTGGTGGCAAATCAGGGCTGTTAATTCCTTAAACGGGGGGGGTTCGTCCCTTCCCTCCTTTCTCAACTGACATTTTTGGGTTCATTTTTAGAAAAGTCCCTTTCACACTATTCATGTTGGCTTTCTGCATCGATTTTCCCATGGTCTTACGAAATTTCACTTTACTGTCATACTCATACTTATATACATACTGATCTTACGAAATTTCATTTTATTGTCATACTCATACATACAGGCATCTTCTCTAAACCAACAGTGAATTGTTACAAAAGGTACCCCTTTTCTATTTTACCTACTTTACAACAGGCATTTTACTTTCTATATATTGAACAGACTGTAAGCAACCGGAACAAGCAACAAACGCCCAGAAGCAACTTTTCACCCGTTACACCAAATGATCCAGGATATACCTAAAACAAGGAGTGGAGGAAGGAGCGTAAAATAAAAAAAAGGTGTATCTCGCTTCGCTCTCTTATATATATATAAATAAGTACACAAGGACATTTTCCAGTGAATTGATTGGCTTTATCTCATGTCGCTTGTTTACTGGTTTAAAGAGAGGGATAGATGAGAATAGGGGTTATCTTCAAAGCTATGAGGGGTACGTGGTCAGTCATCATCCCCCCCCCAACCCAGGATCCATCATTTGAGTGCACTAATGAACATGCATGTTCAGCACAGAGGAACAAATGCAATATGATCAATTCACACCTACGCTTCCAATTCATGTAACCGACTTCTATATTAGCAGCGGTCATATGCGACAGGTGGAAGAGATCTATCGTATCTCACGGTTGAAACATGGAACAGCGAACAATGGCAAACGGTGTGGTCAACTTTACTATAACGGTGTTTTGTGTCCTAGGACTAAGGTATGATTTTGAATCGCTGGGTCAATTTGGCATTTGAGGAGAACATTGTTTTGGAAAAAATGTTTAATCCCTGCTTTATTTTTAGAATGACCTAACCACAGATTAATAGTTAAAAGTAGCACGTGTTCTGATAAAGAGTGCGTAACAGTTTCAGGTCACTTGAAATTATTCTCAGCCAAACGCAAATGAAAAAAATGAGTAGAAAAAAACCCCAATCATTTGTACATGAAAGGTAGTCATGCACCTTTAATCACAATTTACACTACCTCGATACACGTACGTACAATGTAGCAAAACAGGATACATTTTGTGTTTCGATCTTCTCAGCCTCGTGAAGGGACAGGGAACTGAATCAAGGGCACTGTTTGCCAGGTCAGCTTCAGGCACATTCAACATTGCAGACCCAAGATGGGACAACCAACGGTGGTATATGGTAGGAGTGGAATTGAACGTCCTTACTGTGCTGTACACTTGTCAAAATACATGGCTATCTCTCTGTCTATTGTTATTATTTTATTATCATTATTATTGTGCTCGGACTGGTGTCTTAAGAGTATTTTATTGATACGTACATATACGTTGTATGCACTTTAAACTTTGATATATATTTATTTTGTTATAATGTTCTACAAAAATTCATAAATAGTAAGTGTTTGTGACAGACAGAAACTTAATAAGAGCATTTCTAGATATATCTCCTGGATAAAAGTACTCAAACTGGTTAGGAAGTTAGATACCAATTTTAAATTTGAGTGGTTTTCTGAAACGGGAACCCGTTATATGCTTTTTTATTTTTTTACGAAATGCGGTATCGCTTTATTGTCTCGCAGGACAGCGGCAAGACGCTTGACACAAACATAGCTAAGGCATGGTCACTGTGCAGAACAGGGAAGAACGTGACAGTGGCTGTCGTCGACGATGGCGTGCTTTCGACTCACAGAGACCTGAGCGACAAAATAGTGAGTTGTAACGCATACATATACATTTGAACAGCACCTTCTTGTCAAACCAGCATTGACTGAATCTGGCAGAGAAAATTAACTTCTTATTTACACGCAATTTGCGCAGCTATGCATACAGGGGCCCACAAAGGATGGCATAAACACACTCGCAACACACATACAGAGAGAGAGAGAGAGAGAGAGATTCTTTGTTTACCTTTCGTTATTTCTAGGATTTGAGCCTGAGCCTTGACCTCCAGAAAGACCAATATGGTATTTCCGATCCCAATTTTGGTGACAGGTAAGATATCACAATTGTCTATTTCTTACAGGGATGCTTATAATAAATATTGTTGAGCAATTATTGAGACGGGTTAACATTTCTTAACTCAGCTTGGTCAGATAATCATGACGTATATAAAAATAACTTTCCAACACAGATCAGACAACCTTTTATAGTAAATAAGAATGGCCGTCCTATCATAAATGCAAACACGGCCTTTAAATCAAATAACCCGCACTTTTCATTCAGTCACGGCACCAGCGCTGCAGGTATAATTGCGGCCGCTGCTAACAGTGTCTGTGGAGTGGGCGTGGCTCCTGATGCCAGAATAGCCGGCATCCGCCTGTACGGAGACTCCCCCACGACAGACCTTATGGAGGCTAGAGCCCTGGGTGCCTTCGGGAACGATGTCAGCATCTACAGCTGCAGCTGGGGTATGGCCAGAACGGGATTCGACCTTAAGGAGATAGGACCGATGGCTGCGGCGGCCTTAAGAGATGGCGCGATCAAGGTAGAATGTTGTTAGGTGATAGCAGGGTTCGTGTACGTTGTGAAAATGATCTTAAACGCTAATTTGCGATGCTGGTAACGATGCTGTTATTCCTTCAAAACAACTAGAAAGTTTTAAACAACAGATAAACTTAGAGTTATTACCACCCCAATGGCTCATTGTGCATTGCGCATTGCGTTAGCTGTGATCACGTGACATTGCGCTGGCTGTGATCATGTGACATTGCGCTGGCGGTGAAAATAAATCCTTGTGTCAGTTGTGATAATGTGGCATAGTGCTGACATTCAAGAGCATACTTTTGTATCATTTTACTTCTCTATTTTCTTTTCAGGGACGCAACGGAAAGGGTTCAGTCTATGTGTTCGCTTCCGGTAATGGCGGGTCCGGCGGCAAAGACAGCTGCGCATATGACGGGTTTGCCAACAGCATCTACACCATCCCAGTCAGCGGACTGACGTCACGCGGAGAAAAGTTGACAAATGGGGAACAGTGTGGGGCCATGATGGCGACTGCGTTCTCGCGAGATTCTACCGATGACTGGACTTGGGAGAAAATTGTATTTATATGTTATATTTATATTGTAAAAAAATTGTATTGTAGAAAAAATGCGCACTCACACACACACACAAACGCACACACACACACACACACTGCGTATTGTTGACATAACCTACGTGTTTTCCTAAATATATTCATTATATGCATTTTCATCGAATGTTTGTTGTGAGTATTATATTTCCATGTACAGGTATCATATTCTTAGCATGGAGTCAGAAAACACTTACACTGTATATACAGACTTGACATTAAATATGGAATATTTTTTTCCAAGTCATTTTTCATCAGTTTTTTCCTATTTTGCCGACTGATAAATGAAAATAAGGATTAAAATCGTGTTTTAATAACTTTAAATTATCTCTTTGATGTCATGGTGACATCAGCTCATTGGTTGAATTCGACAGTGAAGCAAACAGAAATGCATTGCCTATTCTATGTCATACGACATCCATTAAAAGAGATATTTTGGATCTCTATATTTTCCAAATTCACGTCTGTAAAAGAGTTATACGCTACACAAAGGACCCTCATGTCAGTGCCTAGTCACAGTAACGGTCGCTGTTACGCCTGGCCTCTTCTGTCTGTAACCAGGGCTTTCAAGCGGCAAGGCATTCCTTTGGATGGGTTTTTAGAGTTCAATCTGGAATATTATTCCAGGCATCGGTCCAAAATTGTCCAATTAGGTCCAGTTTTGATGTAGGGCATGTAAGCAGTTGATTCGGCTAGTAATGGCTTACCCACATATTGTCTATGCGGTTCAAATGTGGCGATTTTGATAACCAGGGTAGCTGCTCATTCCCTTGGTTCTATAAGTTATCTGCTATTAAAAGTGCTCTGTGTGAAGCGGTTATCTGACCGTGCAACCTAAAATTGTTCCTAAGGTCCCCCCTATCAAATGATAGTCAAGTGGTTCCCAGATTATTCCTTTATTTGATCTGGTTCAGGTTTTCGTCAATGACTACCATTGGTGTTTTGGCACCAATGTGGTATCCACTCCAAATACTGACGCTGCCAATGACTCGTGTCACTTTAGACGCTGCACATGCTTCGTCGTAGGCCTCTTCTGGATGTCTGTAAACTCTGTTTTGACTAGCTGGGCGGTACAGGTGAAACCTGACCTCAATAAAGAAAGCCACGCGGTTTCAGTGTTCTACCCAGAAACGGTCATGGCCCCCAATTCATTAGAGAAACAGACGACCATGTTTTGTTGTTTACGGTGGGTACCTCGGAGGTCGTCTGGTATTCTAACCTGCTAAAACCAGTTTGGTGTTCGTTAAGGGCCTTGAAAAACGCATTTTGGTGGCAATTTACCCCTCGTTCTGAACGGACTGGGTGGCTTTTGTTTAGTTGCAGCAGCGTATCCCGAAAGATGGTGAGTCCTGTACCCTGGAGATAAGATTCCGATGCACTGGGTGTGACCTCTGTGAAGTTACATTAGTCAGGGCATTACTCTATAATACTGTGCGGACCGTTCCGTTTGGCGCTGTAATCTGTCTGGTAATGTCTGTCTTTTTCGCGTCATTCTGCCACAAATTAACAAACTTGTAAAGCACTACTTAGCTCATTTTACGCACTGCAAAACTGACCGCTTGCATGCAAAATTTCAAATTTTTCTATGGAATAGTTGCCGACATACGAATACTTTTTTGACAGAACCAAGATTTGCCTGAGCCAAGCATTGACCAGCCCATAGGAACACTATCCATTTAAATCACCGCATATTACATAATGTAGCAGCGCAACAGACATGGAAGTCAGTTAATTGGTAGCGACACGCCTGACTACACACTTCTCCATTCACAAATCTTATATGAGATCGGAGTTTTTTTGAAAAAAGAACGAATTTTTACCTAGGCATACCTTCGAAACTGAAATATTCCAAATTAAATGTCAAGTCTGTATTTTCAGATCGCTCCAGGTACGGGGTACTCAAGTTCTTGTCTGGATGACTTCGGAGAGTCGTCTGCTGCAGCACCACTTGCCGCGGGCATCCTTGCCTTGGCTTTGGAAGCTAAGTAAGTTAACTATAATCCACTTGGGCGATAGATAAACTCACTAAAAGATCGTTATGTCTCAGACAGTGGTACTTGTGTGTGTATGCCATTCTATTCAGTACTTGCCAATTGATTTTAAGACATTTTAAGTATAGTTAAGTCAATCATCACATTAACGGAAGGATATCATTCTTCAACCAGTCCCTCACTGACCGCTCGTGATGTCCAGCACCTGGTAGTGGCCACGGCCAATAACCAATTTGGTCGGGAGGACTTGTGGAATACGAATGGCGCTGGAGTTAAAGGTACGGTGAACTGACCAATATTATACTTGCACACGTGGTTAGGTCCACTGGGTCCCCCCCTTTCTTATTTTATTTTCAAAATGTAAGTTAATTAAATTGTAATGATTAGGATTAAAATATTTGAATTATTAAATAATGACACCATATGAAGCTTGCAATTGTTAAAGGAGTGCTAAAATTAGATATGCCACTAATGGATGATCCTGGATCTCGTGGGAAGGGGGCAAGGGTAAAACATCGCCTCGCTTCATTATGCACATATAACGATAACAACTAAGTATATTTATACTGTACCGTTTATGACACATGGATGCTAAATGCCTTGGTTTGGACTTGTTTCGTTTAGTTCAGTATTTGTCCTGGGCAGAAGGGGATTCCTCCGAAACTAAGTTTGGGGGCGCACGGCCTGCTGGCACACACACACACACACTCACACACACACACACACACACACACAAAAAAAAACTTAATTCCCTACCCTAGACAGTAGTTGACTAGGATTTCCACGAGAGGGCAGTAACACTGTTCCTGATAAGTTAAGATGTGCGCATTCGACCATGTAACGTTGGCACATGTAATTAAGTTAAGCCAGGGAAACTAAAACCGAAACTGGGTCCTGCTGTGTCCCTCTCCCAGCCCGCCGCTGACCACTGAGTTAATGTGTTAACAAACATTTTATCTTACAGTAAGCAGTGCATTCGGGTTTGGCTTACTGGACGCAGAAAAGATGGTGAAGTTTGCCGAGAACTGGAAACATGTACCGCCTATGACGATGTGTATCCTCAGTAAACGAAACATCAACACGTAAGTTGGATAGTACAAATCAAAACAACGATCTTTGGTCCTATGATTCCCTTTCAAAGGAAACACAATTGGCGCAGACGGTGCATGGTGGTCCATTCTTCCTTTTCTGTGATTTAATGAAAAAAAGACTATTATTCATAAGCACGCACGTACAACATGTATGTCACTACAGTATATACAGGTGCAACCGGTTTCTTACTTCTGTTCTTCCGTATCTGTGAACGGTTTTTATTGCTATTATTCCCAAATTAAATTAAAATGTATTATTCGCATTCCTGAGCATCCACATATCTGATTCTTAACCGGTGTAGCACTGTCCCCGATGTCCTGGGTATGGAAATCCCAGCTGATTGTGACGTCAGTTCCGTAGAACACGTGCAGGTTTACGTGCTGGTCAGGTTCACCAAGAGAGGCTACGTCAAAGTGGACCTGGAATCTCCTTCGGGAACGCGGTCCACATTGATACCAGGACGACCAAATGACCAATGGTCTCGCTACCTTGAGCTAAACGTCTCAACTGTCCAGTTTTGGGGAGAGCGGTCACAAGGCGCCTGGAAGGTGCACGTGGACAGCTTGTATCCAGGTCAAGGTCATTCAGGTATGCGATCCAGGTCGAGGTCATATATGTAAAGGACGGAATACTTGTAATATAAGGCAGCCAACGACCAAAAGACTTAATTCAAAGTTTAAGTCTTATTGAATATAAAACTAGTATGCTATATTAGTGCTAAAGGCCTGGAATTTAATGTATCTCATGTCAATTGTTATAGGCGTATTGTATGACCTGAAACTAGCCGTTTATGGTACGTCCAGCCAACCACCACAGCAGTCGCCATCTGCCGGTAATTGTCGACAAACTATTGCATATTATGGTAGAAACGCCTTTGTTCCTGACGTCACTGGCGTGACAAAACCTGGCGAAATCTCGGTTCCAACATCGCCCACTGAAGTGCCCGGGGTGACGAAGGGGACACCAGGCCCAGTTCTTCCCTCAAGTTCCCAGACGTTTTCCCCTGCCCGATCTACGGTCCGCCCAATTAACATCTTTTCCGAGTGCAGTTGCCGTAACATGCAGTTCCCGATATACCTCTGGGAAAAAGAGGCCCAATTTGAAATAGATTTTGCTGGGGTAACTTATGACGTCACGTGCCCCGATGACGTATTCGATGACTGGTCTGCTCATGCGTGCGTCATGACGAAGAAGGTGGCTCCCTCTAGCGCTTTGGACGGCAGTAAATGTGCCTGTGGCTTTAAACAGGGGATACCGCTTGGGGACGGGGAGGTCAGCGCCACATGGGAGGTCAATACCAGGTTTAAGAGCTGGTGGGGGATCAGACATAAGAAAACGGTGTGCGTCTCCTGTCCTGTTCGCACGACAACGGACAGACCAACGTACCCCTGCTCTGCCACTCAGTGCTCCTCTCAGGGAACAGGACCCCTCGTGGGTTAAGACACGATGTGTAGACAGTTGTGACGGCAAGAATTTAGAGAAATTATTACTCTTTCGCATCGTTTTATATATTATTGAAAGATATAGATGGATATCTTCACATTTGGTTATAGTCTTGTTCCTCTTGGTCAAAATGAACAGAGTTCCACTTAGTTTCTTTTAATAAAAAATACCTGCAAACCAACGGTTCAGTGTTCAATTGGAAATTCTTTTTGACTGCAGTTTGTAGGGAATGAGTTGTTTGGTGATACAGAACATATCGCGTAAAAATAAATACACTAATTATGTACATTATTTCCCAGTAGATATTTTGTGGGATCTCAACTGCCGCAGTAAGGCGGGATCTTGTTATCTCAACAGCCGCAATAAGGCATTCAGATACAGTACCTGCAGATTTGGTGCTCAGTAGCTATTGCAACGTCGCTCATTTTGAACGGCCCCTTACTAATACTGCCAGGCCTTAGATTTTGTATAGACATGTATTAATTGTGACGTCACAGCTTAAAAGTTATTGCCCGTTCATGTCCACTAATTTACAAACAACTAAAATAAAGCACATCACTATGTAGCATGAATGGAATTGGCGTTTTCATGCTGTGTCAATAAGGTAAAAACAAAGGAAAAATGAACTAATAACTTAATACTCAAAATAAAAAACAAGGCAATGAATCATAATATACCTTGCTCATAAAATAAAAAATGACGTTTATTTTGTGCGGATTTAAATGTTGAATAACGGCAATAAATATGTGTTCTTCTTTTGATAATGATTATTATAGAAGTAGTAGAATTTACTTCTTTCGAAGTTAGACCTAAGGCCTTTAAGTCTATAATTATGTGACGACGTATCAGCCACCAACTGTGCAAATATAGCTGTGATTTAAACAATCCTTTAAATAGGCTATTCATACATTTATAAGTCAACTGCAACTGATGAATAATTCCTTCCAAGTTAACACGTTAATTGTATGAGCAATAATACAATACAAACAGAGGAATTAAAAAAGGGAAATTTAAACACGATTATGCAGAATAAAAACACGACAATGTTCCATCTGGCGTTGAGATAGGAGACAGCCCATTCTTCAGATGTGATTAAAAGAAACTTTAAGATCTCCACTGCATGACTGATATTAATTGTATTAATGATTAGATAGATCATGGATATCAAAAATCAAATTATCATCCTAAGTAGAGATCAAAATACAACTTACATTCACCAACACCATATAAAACATCATTGCATGCTACGTACAAATAAACTGATTGCTTTTTCCTTCATACTTTGCTATCATTTAATTTAACAAAAATTACACAACCATGGGGTTTTCTTCATACTTATTTCCCTTTTACGTCATCAGCATATCCGTTACGTAATAGAGCTTTATTTTCCGTAAACGTCATCACTACACGCTTCACATTACACCATTAATCACCGCAAAGTAAAATACACCGAAAACGTCAATATTCTCTAGTATCGTAGAATGCATCTGTTTCAAGAAAAACCCATGCCATAACTGGGTAATTTTTTTTCTTTTATTGTGATCAGGTGCGCTTTCTTTGTTTCGTCAGTGTTATCGATCGATTTTGTCCATTAACGATGTTGGTATAATCGTTCACCTTTATTGATATCCAACAATAATGCGTGTAGGCAATATGAACATTGTGCATCGGACACTTGCACCATCCTGAGCTACGCTAGCTAAATCATCAAAGTACAGTATTAATGTTCTTATTAATCCTTGCCTCCCGTTGCGGTACCGGGGAATACTTCATCTTCCATACCGGCTGCGGCACGCCGTTGTTCGATGAAGCAGATGAGATTTTCTTCGGCGGGGGAAGGCTTATAGTACTACCGACGCTTTGGTTTCTGGGAATGCGTAGCTGGTTGTTCATGTTAGTCATGCTTTTTGTTTGTGGCAAGTGACTGTTTGTGTTCGAGAAGCTGTTCATCGTGGTCGTGCTATTGGAGCTTTGGAGCCTCTGCATGTTTGGCGTGCTTCTGACGTTCCTATAGGACGTTTGCCGACTGCTTAGCGACGTATCCGTGCTGTTGGAGCGCCGGTGCGCCATTAACAACGTTCGACTCTCAGACATTTTCAAATTTGCTTTCCGTCTTTCTCTCTTCCTTTCCAACTGAACCATAATCAGTCTATAAATAAGTAGCAGCATCACCAACGCGTTCTTAGACGTAAAGAAAAAATTGGTATAACTTACGACGCCGTAGTAAAATATAAGCAAAAGGCGTAGAGATAAAAATGGCGCGTCTTGCATTATGATAGAAATCATTATGCCGTAGACGTCAGAAGAGCAGCACTGGTGTTTGTCTATATGGGTATGGATCCCGGGAAGGAGACCGGATTGATCCTTGCGGGCCTTAGTGGCTGTGAGGACCATGGTGAATTGTAAGAGGCTCCATGTCCAAATGGAAAGTACCGCATAGGCAAGGTACCATGTACGACGTACCTGGGATAAATAGAAAGAAAGATGTCATAGTCATTGCATACCTAAAATACAGCGTGTGGCATAACTCTTATAATAACCGTGTTATGTTCTATGTAGGCTGCCTTATTTTAATGATATACATGTGATAAAAATATACCATGTGCCATACAATACATAACACAATGCAAAACACATTACACACCCGAAAAAAACGTGACATTTACTACGTAGGTCAGTCACTGCGTAGGCGCACAGTTACCCAAGGAAAAAAACAAATGTATCAGACACTCCCTTTTTCAAAGTACAAAGCTCGGCGTGTCTTGCCTACGTTAAGCACACCTGTGATTAAGCTCAGGTGTCATGGCGGGTCTTTTGTCACTTTGCCCCTGGAACGTTTCATTATGATTGTATTACATTTTTTTTCTATGTCAATCGATGTTGATATCTATTAATCCGTCTAAACAAATTGAAATTAATTCCACGACGTCAGTCAACAATAAAAAAGAACGTCGAGGGTAGCCCTACTCTTGGGTAATTTTCAAGGCAATCTTTCCATTTCGCTCTCAATTTTAAATAGAAATAAATGTCGATGCTTACCACGTCTTCTTTAAAAGCCTCAAAGAACTCGACTATGTCCGCCGCCGTGCCAATGTAAACGAGCAGTAACTGGGAGAGTTGGTCGTGGGTCAGCTTGCCCTTGGGCAGTACCCACCTCCCTAGAATTAACATTAACAACAGGCCTTGCTCTAGGAACTTCAGCCACTGGTCACTCGATAGCTTCAGTGGTATCCTAATCTCAAGCTGAAACGAAGACAGCGAGAGAAGACAATATTGTTGAAACACAGTCACACGCAAGCACTAATTTTTCAGCCTGTGTTTATCTGTCTGTCTGCCTAGTTGTCTGTCTGTCTGTCTGCCTGGCAGTATGGTATGTCTGTTTGTCTGTCTAAATGTCTGTCTGTATGTATGAACGTATGGCTATATGCGTACTATCATGATTTTTCCACACGTTAAAGCTGAAAATACCCCCGTGAAAATATTACTTGATCACGAAGGGGTAGTCGTAATGGGGTGAAGTAGGAGGGGGGGGGGCAACATTTTAACCATTTCTGAACCACTTATCCCCGACCCCGTTACAACAAAGTCGGTATACATGAATTGGGTGTGCTTAAACCTTAAATACCACTCAGAGGTAGTATGGCAGACCGTTAGAGGGGAAAAGGATGGCATGATCACCTGGAAAATATTGCACTTTGCCACTTTCTCTCACGTGATGCGTAGGGGGCACGGCTTGGTTAGCCCCCTCCACCGTTTCCAAGCACGTCAGTCAATTAGATAAAAAGATGGCAGCTAAGGGGAGTGCCCCCCTCCCCCCGTCGCTAATTTGATGGCTAGCCATGCGTCACTCTTAAAATTTGCTAGTAACGCGCCTAAAATTCAATTGTCATGTTGGCACCCATCTTTGCAGACATTTTCTCCTACACTGGTGACCAAAAGTTACCCCTAGTAGCTGCGAAAGCATAAATCTTTTGAAATGAACATGATACGCCTTTGGATTATAATGCTGCACCCACTATCTGTTTGCACAAACATTGATATATTACGGAACTGAAGTCACGGGGATCCAAGCAGAAAAAAAAATGGATTTATTTGCCATGCAATCCCGTATATTCCTCCTCCCGCAAATGAAACGGTGACGTTTTTTACCCTGAGTATCTCCGAAATCGCTTCCATAAGAAAGCCATATGATAATCGGACGAATTTAAACGGTGGCGAAGAGCGCATATTAGGAAGCGTAAGAGTCACTCATGTGACACCAACACCACATTGTATTTTTTTTTTTATTGTCCGTCAGAGGTCTGAGAATCAGGGTTCAATTAACGTAATGAATAATGAAATCCATTAATGACATATCTTTTCTGCGGTTTCTAGGCTATTTAATGCCGTTGCCTAATCAAAGCATCATTCCATGTTTATGTATAGTTTTATTATTACAGATATTAAATTGGCCGTACAACACGAATGTCGGTCAAATACGCGGGGCCAACTACATAGAAATGAATGGGCATCATAGAGACAAAGATGAAATAGGTTCTGACTGAATATAAATAATATATTGCTTGTGATATTGCTACGATCATTTTCGTGCATTTTTGCAGGACTAACATCTAAATATCATTAATGGTAGTACATTTGAGTTAAATAATAATCACTAATATAAATTGTATGCTTATACAAAACTAGTTAACTGTTTTCCCTGAGATGTATTAAAAGTTATGACGAGTAGGGTGCTGCTTGTGCTACTGTTTTTATACGTACCATTTTTGGTTAATCTAAGTGGTTTCGCAAACGATCAAAAACAGTCCATTTAATATTTGCCAATGTGTGTTGCTCTTAATGTGCTTGACCTTTCTGAACTTAAGATTGAAAATATGCGTTAAAGGGGCAAATTTCCCGATGGTAAGCGTTCTTAATTTTTTTACGTAGTCAAAACAGAAGTTTCTTTGAGCCAACAGACACTAAACAGAGGGCCAAAGGCGCTTGTAGGGCGTGATAGTACACGGAGAAAGTCTGTCCGTAATAGCCTAGAGGGGCGGGCATATGGTGTAGGCCAACGCACCGAGGTCGAAACCCCTTTTATTTACTGAATACCTTCCAACACATATCGAAACACAGATGAGGTAGCTTTCCCTTCTTCTTCAGTGGAAATTCAAAATGTAGACCAGGTGCTAATCCACTGCCGTGCATCCACGTGAGAGAAGTCGGAGGACATTGAATCATCTGGGATTGTTTTATGGGTTTACGTTGTTTACAATGACATTATCTGAATTACTTCTGTGGACACGCATAGTTTCTCCTTACGATGTTCTTATTAATTTTAAACACGCAATGACAGTTAAGTCCCTTTTGACATATGGTATTACAGCGGAAAATGGCTTTAAGTATATTTATGGTGATAAAGTACCTTGTTTTGTGATATACTTGAGAATGATATCTTTGCGTTAGATGTCTAATCGCTAACAAATAGCCATAATGCATATCAGTTCTGAAACAATTAAGATATTCTTTACCTACATCTGATAATAAAAAATCCAAGATACCCCGAAAGAAAAATAAAAAGAGAAACACAAACTGTTCCTTAGCTGTGAGCAGGGGTGTTTTGCATTTTATAAGTGAATTTACGCCATGTTTATGTGGCATTTTTCGTGCTTAGACATCTTCAACCTTTTTCTAAAACCATCTCATTTATCTAGCCAGCTATCGGGAAACCTTCCCACCGCGTCAGGAGAAGTGTGTTAGTGCTAGTCAAGAGCGTTTGGTTACTTGTTTATCAGTTCTTTTTTTCCAGTTCCGATGGCTTAATGAGTCCGTACTTTCAGGCGCTAGCAGAATAAGCAAAAATGCCAACGTGAAACTTCTGACGTTTTCTGTCCTTAAATCGGGTAAATCAGTACATAATATAAGAGCAATGGTATGTTCTGGATGCGTTAAACTGAAATGAATTTTTCAAAGCATTCAGTCTATACAACCTTTTGCGTACATTGTGCATAGTAAAATATGCCATAATTCCACATCTGATGACCATAATTCCAAGCACATAAATGGTCTATCGGAACATTTTTGGTAATGTCAAAAATTATTTTGTGGTCTGTGGAATAATAGTAAATAAACATACATTATACTGTATGTATACAGATGGCAATACATACCCTAGATCACGTGACACCTAAAAATACCAAGAAAAATATCTGAAAACGTCAAATTCTATTTTCATTATTTCTATCCATTTTCATTCAAATTTGTGCGCGAGTGCGTGCGTGTCTCCGTCCAAGCGCGCGTGTTAATACATACCCCAAGTTCCTTGATTGTTGCTGTTAAGTCCTGCAATGAGTCGTTAACTCCGGTGTGGTTAAAGGTACTATTTCCTGTCCCGAGGATCTGAAGATTGTAGAGCTCTAGGAACCAAATGGACGGAATCACTCCAGACAGGTAGAAAAAGACGCTCGGACAGAACCTTGGTTTGTCAATGAAAGCAATGAAATATAGAAATACAATACGGTTATGAATAATAATAATAATAATAATAATAATAATAATAATAATAATAATGCAAAGTATCAATTCCCTCAAACGTTTTGTAGACAGTCAATATTTAGTTTTTCACGACAGCGCCAATTATTCAAATCATCACTCATCATGCTGAGAATTTGAAATTTCTAGTAGATCTAACTTGAAAATAACAACGGAGAATGATAGTGCACGTCATACTATGGTAATTTATAAAATAAGATGACTAGAAATAAAAAGAAAAAAATCATTATCATTACGGGAAAACCACAACCGAGAGAAATTGTCTGCTAAAACAGATAGGAAGTTAGGCCTATATGTGATTAATGCTTTGCTATATTAGAACAAATTAAAGCACAAGGATTCAGGTAGATCCGTCCATGGTAATGACGCATAAAATGTAAAGAATATATATAACGAGGGCAAGCACACACAAACGCACACACCCAGACACAGACACAGACACACACACACACAAACACACACACGCAGACACACACAAACACACACACACACACACACACACACACGCAGACACACACAAACACACACACACACACACACACGCAGACACACACAGACACACACAAACACACACACACACACAAACAAGCATACAAACAAGCACGCACGCACACCTCACTTAACCCCCAAATTTGTTACTCGGAATTGTTTTTCACTGCACTATTTTTTAACCAGGACACCAAATGACAAATGTGCATGTTTAAGGATCTTCTGTGGGCTCAGCTGACAGACGCCCCGGTATATTGGGTCAAACGGAAACGTGTTGAGTAAAAGGCAGCCCAGTTAAAGCCAGTCGTCTTTTTCGTATACAAATTCATTTTGTTTCATCCCACGTTTCTTTAAACCACAGCGTCATGGCTTTAATTAACAGATTCGATCTGTACTGGGGGGGAGTGCTACTTGGATGATTAGTATGGAGGTGGATAGAAGCAGAAAAGGCCACCAAGTGCAAATTTTATCGAGTGATTTCCCTTGTTCATAGCAATGCTGTATCGTACGTATAATTGCAAATCCACCAGTAGTCTCATTTCGCGCTGAAGGTGACTTGATGGATACTGAAAGGTTGCAGTTCGACAGTACGTCTGATTTTCGCTCTGGTTAAAATTTCATTGTTACTGCAACTGCTCGAGTAACACAGCTGATGTGTACTTGCTTGAATAACGTATTGGTTTTGTAATAAGAATCCGAGGCAAAAATATATAAATATATATAAATATAAAACAAAATATATAAATAAGTTAATATATAAATTAATAAATAAACTAAAATGAACGAAAGAAGGAAATACTAGCTTGAATAACCTATTGGTTTTGTACTGAAAATGCCATGCAAAAATTAAATAAATAAATAAATAAATGCGGATCTGATCAGTTTTTCAATGTTGTGTCCTTAACTGGAATGCCCGCGTAAAGACGATTCTTCCCAAGTATCAAGCACAATTAACACAACGGACGGATATCTATTTTGTCCTCGCTAAGGTTTTAGATAATTAAACCATTCTTCAGCCATGAAGATCGCCTTTGAACAACTGACCACGGTACGTGCACTGGGGTTTTCTCTCGATCGTGTTTATATATCTCAATCTACTCCTCGTTTCTCTCTCTCCCCGGCCTCGTCCGTCATTATTATTCTTCGGGGCGCCATTATTGAAATTATCCTTCGAATTAAAAAGGTTTGTTCGCTTTCTCGTTCAGTGCTGGCCTGTCCCTGGGGCCGGTTTCAGAAACGAACTTTGGATCGAAAGTTCGTCTAAATTTTCAGACCATTTTCTTCTATACTTTGGCTCAGAACAAATTTTCAGGCGACCACATAAACAAAGGAAGGTTTGGTCTTAAAGAGAAGTCATTTCGTCCTTGTTATATATATAAATCGAGTGCCATATGTCATTTGCGTGGGCAGCTATTGATTGATTATATTGGGCCAATATAGACTTTAAGGACAAGCAGACTTGGAGACAATTAAGTCTAATTCAGGTCATGGTACCAGTAGGTCTATAATAGTACCACCTTAATTCAATAAAATTATTATTGGTCTGAGACATAAGTAATTATTTCTTGTTATAAAAACGGGCATAACATGTCATTTAATTGGACTACTATTGATTTACCGAATGATTAATGCGGACTAAAAGTTTGGTTCAAGCGTTTCGACCAGCTACAGGTCTTATGTGATTTACATGTACATGTGTACGTGCACCCCTCCACCCCCCATCTGTGGTTGGATACCAACACAATCTACCGGGGGGGGGGGGGGGGGGGGCGGTATGCAAGTCTTATAATGTATTAAAATCCACACAAAAACACAATATTTACCTTTTACCAACCCCTGCCCCTACCACCAAAACAGAACCCCCAAATCCTACCCTATCCCCGGAAGTCTACACCCACACCCCTAAAACCAACCCCTTAAGCTATCCCCTTCCCCAAAGTTATTCACCCAAAACCAGGTCAGAAAGTTACCTTTGTATCCCCATTTCAAACCATCCACCCCAAACACCAAAGCTCCAACCCTAAAGCTAACCCAATCCCAAAACACCTTTCCCTAATCCCCACCCCACTCACATTCCACCAGTCCTTCAATTAAGATATCAACAGAACTTACCACTTCCACTCGTGCCGTCTCTCTTCAACAGTGTCACCATCCCCTCTATGAACTGTGTCCCCAGGGCACACAGCAAGTACCAATAGATCTCATCCTTGGTGACCAGGTATACTCTCCATACCGCCAGGGTGGAATGGGCCGCAAAACAAAGCCTCACAGCCACGGCGCGGATCACCGTGAAACAACCCATGGTAGGAATAGGAATCACCGCTGAGATTTCAGTGTCCTCAGGCCACCACCACCACCCGACAGATAATCCGATATAGATATAGAATTCCGAGAGAAAACCCCACAGATAATCCCCGCGTGAATGTCCTCAACGATGAGCCTCTGTATTTCTAATACACCGAACAAGAAATCCAGTTTTTCCACGCTCTTTGCTTTTGGTGTCTGTCAGCAGGCTACTTTTGGGATAGAAAACACATTGCATCACCAAGATACAGCCAGGGAAATGTTCCATAATTTTGGCGAACAAAATAACCAAATTTCATAAGTTCTGCCTAGGAGATGGCGAAACAGTGACCCCGTTTGTTCAAGAGAGCTATTCTGTGTCAGGACACGTGGAGGAAGATTATTAGATTATTATTAGAATTCCTTTGCTTAGAAACTTGCTCTGACGAACGGCTGATAGATCCGTGACGTAATGTCTGTCAAAACTCAATTCCATTAGTACTGATCTATGTCCTGCACATGTAGGAAGTTATTCAAAAGTCTTTTTTTTTAAATATAAATGAATTAATATTCACTTCCCTGCGTTTTCGTAGTTGGGCAAATTTTTTTTTCGTACGCCGGTGTGATGTTTTATATTCAGATGTGCAATTTGTCCGAGTCTAACTGCAGGCTGTCAATCATCGTAAGAAAAATATTTTGGGCTAAAGCACATAATCAATCTGCTTTACGTTTATGTTTTCTTGCAAGCGTTAAACAAGCTCGTCGATTTCGGCTCACTACTGACCCTAATACGACATAACGGTGCTTAAATCATATCAATCATCAATCTTAATACAGTCATTTTTGGTCAGAACATTCTGTCCAGAACATTCTGCCTCTGGTCAGCAAGTGTGTGTTAAAAGACTGCTCCGTGTCAACTCTTGTTTGTAGGTTGTCCCATTGACTTCTTTTACCTGAAATGTACCAAGGACATGTTTTTTTTTAATTATTTCCTTAATTTGGACAATATGCACATGTACTACTTTTTCTGCAGAATTTTCTACAGAATTTTTGACCCACTTTTAAGTTCTGTATTCCAGTACTCGAGAACTAGGATGCGTTTTCACCCGCTTCTGAAAAGGTGAGTATAGGTCTATATGCATGTGCACGCTGGATCACTTGAAGTATTCCGTTTATGTTGAATTTAATTGACCGCCCATCTGTTTTCCTCCGTATATAATATGAAACGTTATGACGCCGTCAGTTTATAATGACTGCAAGTTGTTATCGCTACGGTTATTATGGGCTGTGGTCACATCAGTTTTGACTTCAGCCAATTTGACTTAAAAGAACGACCTTTAGTATGAAATTACTGATATAAGTTTGTACTAGTAATTCAGTATGTCTCTGTATTTTGTTTTCAAATAATAATTATAAGAAGAAGAACTGCAGGGGTTTATTCATATCTGTGAGAAAAATAGCCACAATTTCGTCGAGTTCAAGTAACATAAAAGATTTAAATGTAAAATGACTAAATTATATGAAATGCTATTGGTTGGCACGCAAGAAAAACTTGCCTGAGGACACTGAAGTTCTCTTTTAAAATAAAACCATTTAAGAAGAATTTGATTTGTCTGCGACCACAATAAGGCATAGAGCATTTGAACGGGTTTTCGGACAGGTATGTGTTTAATGATGGAAATACAAATCCACTGTTTAATCCACACTTGCAGGTACTGTCGTATTGGATGTGTTTTCCTATGCGTTTTGTTTACAATTCTGGAATACAGCAACAATGTGCGAAGCCATAATACAAAATACATTGGAATTTACATCTGCAAAGACCATAACTTTCATTTATGTCCCCGAGGTAACGTGTTTTTTTATCCCAAGTGTGATGAACTTTATAACCACAATAAAATCATAAAACATTTGTGTAACATTGCGTTGTCCAGGAGCAAGGCAACAAATGATACACTGACATTGCTGACTGCCAGCCCTATCTATTGCCAATAATCAGTTTTTCGATATTTGAGAGATCCCAATGATCAAAGAAACCGGCACAGTAACAAACCGATAGATCCCATGTGTTCCTTGCCCATTAATTGAAACATAGACTCGGTGGTTTGGTGGAGCTAGCCCATCGTTCGGACATAAACAGCTCGGACCTGTTTGTATTCATTATATACTCAGAGGCATAAAGGACGAATTAATGGCGCCGACTACTACGTCAAAATAATTTATTTTGATCGCAGTTTCAATTCTTTCGAATGAATGTCACCTTCACCTCACCTTTCTTATTTTTTAGGTCGAAACTTTGTCTGCAAACGTTTGCCTGTCGTACCACTGAATCTGTATTATTAAAATTGTGGTCCTGTTAGCATTGTGTTATTATATATTACCAGAAGAAGACTCTTTGTGCTGTCTCAAATACCCACGTGATTTTTTTAATACCAAAGAATGATACATATCTTGAACATAGGACATTGAAGTCATGTCATAGTTATCAATCAGCGCCTTTTCTTTAAACATAATGTCCCCGCTTCCCTTCAAAATCCCCTTGAAGTATTTAGAGTATATACGCAACTAGTTACACAAAACTTAGAATCTCTCTTTTTCTTTTTCTCAATCAAAACTAATGCAAAAACTCAAAAACTGAAATCACTTGCTCCCTCGTGAGAAAAATGTCATTAGCACAGGTAATTGCACCAAATAACGGTGCAATTCTTCGGACAACCTTACCTACTTTTAGTCCATATTTTTATCTGTTTTTTTTTTTTTTCATCCAAGTGTGTTGCCAGTACAGTAACTTTATAGTTGAAAAATGACAGTTTGCTTTCATTATCATGCGTGATGCACCAGCGATATGTTCCAAAACCGATTAGGGAATGATGGATAAATAACTTCCACGACTAATGTTATCTATTTGAGATAGGCCAGTGTGTTGAGAGCAACGAAGCGGAACAATTATCCTCAGAAAAGAGTAACGTTAAGAGATGGGGTAGCACCATAAATGACAAGATGAGACAAGATAATTGGACTTTTACGTGACATCGGTAGCTAGTCGTGTTTCCGTTTCCAGCTCGCACTCACACGCGGTGTGCACGTGTTCCTACAGACTTCGCGACTGGGAAATTCTGCGCGGTGACGTCTTGCGTGGTGACGTCTAAAATATAATCAAATATGACAGCTTGGAAATTCAATTAGAGGGCAATCCTTAGGAGAGATGAATTATCGTGTGTTCCATTCGAATCTGCTCATTGAAATAATTTTATTAGATGAAATAATGACACATATAGCCTTTAAAAGGACACTGACTTTATCAGGAACAGATCGCTATTAAGTGAATTGAAATTAATTTGTAATGATGAGAAGAATACAAGTGCGGGTGCACTGGGTGGCCCTGAAATAGATTTGATAATGCCTGATTGTCCTAAATGGAAGCATATAATTCATTTGATTAATATCACTAATTATGCTGGAAATTGTACTAATGTTAATAATTAAGGGGCTGCACTAGCGAATCATTCAATCCAAAGTTTCAGAATTTGAACAGTCTGCGGTCACAACAGTAAGTCAAAGGCGCCCGTGGTTTATGGTGCACATAATTAGATATGCAATGTATCTGAGACGTACTTGCTGATTGAAAGAAGTATCCGTTACTTTTTTTCACTGAGATTGCTGTTAGTCTTGATTTTTTTTACTTCGTAACAGCATTGAACATTTCTTGGCTACCCCTAGAGAATAGAATAAAAATCAATTTATGTGCACGCCTCCGTCTTTCATCGGGTGTGGTTCTTAAAGTGCTTTTAGACGGTCGTGTTTATTATTATTATTATTATTATTATTATTATTATTATTATTATTATTTCAAGTCTGAATTTCATCATAGATGTTCGACAGATTATACAAATCAATAATTGACACATTAAGTCTTTCATAGGTAAAGGGCGTAATCATTTACTTTCCTTTAACCAACACAAAATATATCAAAATGTCATTCAAAAAGAAAACTGCAACAACCATACTCATACACACAGTTCTAGAGGCGCTGATAAACATTGCTGCCATGACATTACTGTTTCCAACCCTTTACATGTTTCCCAACACCGCAGCTGCTGTTATTATATTTTGATACTCACTTTATCACCGACACTAAGACTAACTTGATGGTACCGAACATAAAACCTGCACGAGGTAGACAATGTGTTAAGAACCACTGGCAAGTAAGGATTTTGACAAGCGGGGGGTTGATCTGACCCCACCCCAAAACCCAATAATTAGCATGATTATTTTTGAAATATTGCAAGCGCAGTAGATATGAACGTGACTTACTAAGAATACTAACGCTCAAGGTATATCATATTTGCTTCTTTGGAAGGGGTCCAAGAGATCGAAATGGTGGTGGAAAAAAAAGGAGTTTAAAAAAGGAGTAGCGTTATATGAGTTCTGAATTGACACGCGCTCGCGCACATTCCCGCACACTCCTGTGTGTATTATTTAAATGAATCTGGAACCAGATAACTTGTTCTTGTGTCGCACTATGTACAACTAAAGAAAAAAAAAAGATAAGGAAAAAACCGTTGGTTATTTGACATTCTCACTCTGACATGATCTGAAAAAAAAAACTTAGCATCCGAGAAATCGTTTTTCAAACTTGCCAAAAGAAAAAAAAGAAGATTTTCTTTCACGAATCACACCGGGTGATGGATTACAGCTAATTACCAGGTTCCAGGGTTCTCTTTAACATGTAAATAAACCCATGTAGGCGTACAGGCACAGTGCTAACTAGACTCAGGAATAAAATACATATCGAATCGGAGGTAAATTATAATTGCACTGAATGACTGAATAGCCCGGTGACGTGTTCAGCGGAAGTAAACCTTTGCTACAGAGGCTACTGAGAGACTGTCCTCAAAAACCAGCAAAGATGGCCTATAAAGTGTTGAATGTACTCGATAACCCCGTCATCATTACAGAGTATATATTTTGATTAAAACAGTGATACGTGGTGACTGCAATGTTACACCCCGCGGGGAGGGGGGGTGTGTGTCTCGTACCCCTCCTTAGTGTTTGAGGTGTC